TTGGGCATTTTGTGGTGATGTTGCTGTGCAAATAATTAACGATTGTACGAACTTTGTTCTGTGCAGCAAACACATTTCCACAGACTTTGTGTGCATTGGCAAATACCACTGATGTCCTTAGAGGCGTCCATAAAAGAGGATTGTCGGCAGGAATGCATACAAAACGTGTTTGTACACAAAGATTGTTTGGCTTCAGATGAGCCGAGCTTTGGTCTTCTCAAGTCCCAGGAAACAACTTCAAAGGATTTCAGTCACATCAAGCTTATCAAATATCAATTCTATTCGGCAGACCTTTCCAAATATAGAGTAACTTTTAGTCCAACAATTTTCTAGATATAATTCTCATGCAAATATACAGTGACTGCTGATTAAAAATTGCATATTTTTGCTACCATTTCAAAGTTTCATTTCATTGGCAGCAACTATTACTATCCTTGAGCACGAAAAAGGCTCCGCTCTTTTGATGTGCGGAAACGCAAAAATACTCTGTCCAAGTTTATGCTTCACTTTGTGTCCTGAAAACAATATTGCCGCGCGAATCCTATTTGTGCCACATGTCGCCATTCCCTGTCTGTCCCAATTCGCATCGTTGTGTGCGAATATATTGTGGCAGGACACTCTTCGTCATACAACATTTATTGTTGATCCACAGTCTTTGGCGCGGCGTGTGAGAAATGCGAATTTTTCCCTTTATATTTGTTCACGCCATAAAAGCGCATCAGAGACGCATTTCATCAGGATAACATCACTCGCGCCACTGTTGCATTCTCCCTTTTTATCACCACGTTTCCGTGCGCTTTCTCTGGTGTGAAAATAAAACCCTCAATGCTAAAGGATCTTGTGTACTCTCTTCGTCAATCCATTGGCTGTGCAAATTTAAGTAAGTGATGAAAAATATCCATACATTCTGAGGGCAAGAACATGCACACATTCCTCTATTAAATACATAATCAGATAGGAAAGCCACAATTTCTGTATGGCAAAATGTTTTCCAGTGACCGTCAAAAGTCCCGAAAGCAAGTGAATAATGTGCCTTTTGTCTATTTACTTCACTCTCCAAAAGTAATATTGAATTACGGCAGACACCAAGAGCTCACAGCAGATGGACAATGACATTGTGAAGAACAACTGAAGAATCTGGACAAAGTTCATGTTCCGGAGTCACACAAATCAAATCAAAAGTCCAAAGTGGACAAGAGCACTGCATTACACACGATTCGTTTAAATAATAGATTTTCCCCATGTTTCCGCTCTCAAATGAAACCCATTTGTTCAGCTTCTGCGAACTCTATATATTCCTGCCTTTAAAGTTATTTTAATCTCTCGCTCTGGTGTTTGGTTCTAAATGTCTGCTAAATTTCATGGTTCAACTGGATATTCTCGTATTTGATCAATTTATTTTGTGCTTTTGGACAGCATTATTTTTTCAGATTAAGGTTTGTCTCCGTGATTGATGAGGAGCTAAAATTGTACAATCGACAAATTAAGAGTTATTATTGTGAAAATGTCGCTCTTATTATAGTAAATTTAATAATTTGTTTGGTGAATTGAAACAATGATTTTCGTTTAACCCTTTTATTTCTGACCAAAAATTCACTAAATTCTCTATTTTCTAGAAAATATAACCTTTGTAACCCCTAAAATTGACGTTTCTTTCTTTTCATAAATCCTATTTCAGACTCACTGAACTAATTTCATCCCATGAATATCCAATGGAAAGTCCATATTTCACTAATGACTTGCAACTCCTCATGAAATCCTTTCCCTCATATTGGGGATATTGAGTGCCCTGTGTGTTTAGGGTGGCGCTCAGAAGGGCAAATCGTGGACTGAGTGCGTCCGGCGATTTCAATAATGCCAGCGGCCACGCTACGATTTATATTACTGGCCATCAATTGATTATTCACCGTGTGCATTAGCCCTGCAGCGTGCAACAGCTATCACTAATTCTCAAATTAGTGTGTGTCCAGCGAGGCTCTCTTTTGCCATCAATTATTGTAGCAACGATCTATCTGCCATCGTGTTCGCATTTCCGTTGCCAAAGAGCGCGCCATTTAGTTCGAACCATCAGCTTCTCCATTGCGCGCGAAAGTTACACAGAAAGGCAAGGGCGTAGCCTGGGTCTCCCTCAGCTTGGCTATGCAAATTTGAGGGAACTAGAAAAGAAAGGCCACCAGATAAAGCAATAAATGAGTCAGAAAGACCAACACTTCGCAACGACACGTGTCTTGTCTTAAGACCAAGTTGCGATCTTAATCCGTCCATGCAGTCCAACAGTAAAAAGCGGTAAAATTCGAACCTTTTGGTGTTGATTAGGGAATTTACGGCTACGCCCTTGCTCACAACCCTTCGCACTGTCCTCCGCACTCCAGAAGCATCTGGGGGGTCGTGATGAATTTCAGCGGGGAACTCAAATTTGTAATATCAGCGCGCGTATGGACAGCGGAATGGGATGCAGAACTCATTAAAGAGCCCCCATTGTCCTGACGCGCGGTCGGAGGAATGGCGTAGGAATTTATTGCCGGACATCGCATACTTCTCAATTTTGTCCCCACACGCACAGTCAGTTATTAATGGGCACTCGAAGCGAGAGGCAAAAGCCGCTGGAAAAACATAATCGCGATGAGAGATGACGATGGCTCAATCTGGCAAACTTCTCAATGACTTCGAGAGCAGTTGACACCACTAATTATTTCCGCTGTCAAGCGAGGATTTTCCATCTCAAAAGAACATCTATCCTTCATTCCATTCATTCCAACGACAATGCAGCGTTCGAGTATGTTGAGGTAGTTTTATTTGCGACAAAAATCAATAATTCCACAAATATTGAATGACATGTCGAGGCTCTGATTGCTTTTGCTATTCAAATAGAATTATTAAAATGGCAAAACTCCTTTATTAATCTTCGTGAAGCGACAAGAGTGATTACGAACAGTTTATGTCACTTATGAAGAGTGTTTGTTTGAAAATGAACACTTAATCATTTCCTATATTTAATTATTGACAGAATATTTATTTCGGAAAATCTGTTAAACCTGGGATACCTAATCCAAAGAAGTATAACTTGAGTAGATCAATTCGAACCTCTTCTCCTCCTTTCCGCAAGAATAAGCTGTTAAGCATTCCGCTTCTGGCCTCACACACTCACGCTTCCCAATTGAATCCTTGCACTGAGCAATTTGTGCATCTCAGCGCCAAGCGTGTAATCGTGTTATATTCAAATTAAATGCACACGCTTCGGTGGCCTAATTGAATACATTAACTGTGACTCAATGAGGAAATGACGAGGAAGTGATTTGTGGGCGTTTCGAGTCTCTCTGGCCTGGATGCACTGGTAATTTAGTTCAAACCTTGAGGAAGCCCACAAGGATTAAAACTCACTGCCATTCCTTCCTCACATTCATCCGCCATCTCAATACACTCGCCAACATACAACTAATGACGACATGGTATCTTAATTTTATTATGTGCCTACGAAACATCTCCTGTGAAGCCTCGTGACCCGTCATTTGACGTGCGGGGCGAAATCATCCTCTGACGCGAGATGATTACAATTTCGTCAAAATGTGTAACCTCATAAAACTTTTGCGCAAAACAACAGCAATAATGCGATATAATTAATTTTAATTAATTCACTTTTCACGCAGTGCGTCTGTGGAAAGGGCCCGAAAATCCCCACTCATTGTCGAGGTGAACACTGTTGAATATTATTGCGCTCGCCCGGGAATTAAACTTCAACTCTGGTTTCAAGGAGGAAATAATACAAAGATAGTAAGATCGTGGGGAGAAGCTCAGCGGAAATGCTTTGTTTTAGCAATTTAGTGCAGAATTCGGATTTTTTTTTTTATTTTTTAAAGGTGAAAAATAATTTTTTATGCTTTAATGATTCAAATTATTGACTAAATACTCTCCAAAACATAAATTCTTGCATTTAATCTTGAATGATTTCCGTAAAATGGAGAAAATTCGTGCATTTCACAACTTGATTCATTCATTTAGAATTCAGGCACATTTTCTCCCCCTTGGTCTGTCTTATGTGGGTGGGTTTTGATGGTGAAGACGCTCTGAAGACGCGCCGGCGGCTCAAGTCGCAACTGACCGTGCAAGAGTGCTTTTGTGATGTGATAGAATATGAATAAAGGGCAGATTATGCCAAATTTCCGATAGAAAACTTTTTGGCACTGGTGTCAGATGTGGGATCACAGCTTAGGCATTGTCTGTGAGCTTTCAGATGGCTCCGCCGGAGCGCCTCACAGGCGAAGGTGGCGAAATGTTCCTGGCAGAAAGTGTACTGAGCTATTCTTAATGAAGTCATATAAATGATAATATTTCCCCTTGTACGTAATTATAATATGTTACAGCGTCTCACGAGTCCTCAGCAACTTTTAAACTTGCAAAACATTCAACATATGATTCTCTGGGGATGGTAACAAAGCACCAGCGTGATAATTGCTAGCGTACGTGCGAGGGAAGCGAAGAAAACCACCAAATAAGCACGCTATATAGAGTGCTGCTAAACCAAACTTTTGGATCTTGAGCGTCTTTCATTGCAGACAGAGCAAAAGTGTTGCTCTCTCACTCCCGAGCGTTGGTTCCATGATTGGGAGGGGCGGAGAGGATGGGTGAGCTCGGGATAGAGAGCATAGAAAATTACAAATGGGTCTCCAGGGAAACACCGAAAAGTCTTCAAGTGTTTGCGAATTGTTCGCGACTCACTCACTGCACTCAGCCGAAGATTTTGAGGCTTGTGTGTACTGAGGATCCGCACATAAATTGTATTTATTGTTCTTGGCAAATACAGGCGAGAGACACACACGAGAAATGTGTATCCGTCGACTTCCCCCGAGAATAGTCATTGCTGTGCAACTTAGCACACATCAAACTGCCATTTTTCACTCTGGCTTATTTTAATTAGACAAACCGAAAGTTCTATGATTTAACATATGATTTCCAGCAAGATTCCAAGTTTGTTTGTGTGAATAGTGTTCAAACACACTCAATCTCTGCTCATTCATCTTACATTTTATTCACCAAATCATTTACACATCATGAGTAAAATATGCTTACACAATTCGTTACACCTTCCGCTGTCCCTCCTGTGAATCGTCGCCCGGCGAGAGAAGAAGAGTGCCAGGCCACTGTCTTTTCGTTTGAGTGGGAAAAGAATGGCGAAAATTCGGTGGTTTGTCGGCGCTAAATCAGGAGAGGAGAGTCAAGAGAAGGTGCCAAAGCCCTAAGCGAGTGACTAAGCGCGGGAGAAAGCGTCGAGTGGAGTGATATGAGAGTGTCTTTGGTACTTTTGTCCTCTTCAGTCGTCCTTGTCAGATTCCAGGAGCTGCCGCTTGCGCCTGGTCTTCACCGGCGTGACTTCCGCCTCGGACTGGCTGTACTTGTGCCACACCATGTAGCCATACACGAACACCACGGAGACGAAGAGCTGGATGAGCAGCCACACGATGATGTTAGTGGCCTGCGTGCGCTCGAACAGCTCCTTCCCATTCTTGATGCACAGAATCGCCTCGGACACCATGATGCCGCCATAGACCCAGCATTGCGTGCCCACGCGCTTGCATTGCGTGTCAGTGATGTAGATATAGTACTGGCGCACGGACGGCGCCGTGAACAGACCGATGAGGATGAGGCGCACAATCACGACCGGATGCGATGGTGGCATCTCGAAGATGTGCTTGAGGAAGAACGTGTTGAGCTCAGTGACTTGCCAGAAGATCACCAGCTGACACACGGCCAGGAAGCGCATGTACGTGCTGTTGGGATCCAGCCAGCGCACCGCTGTCCAGCTCTGTGGCGTGAACTGCAGCACGGCGCGCTTGATCTTGCCAGTGGTACTGGAGATGTGCCGGATGCTGATCCACTTGTACTCGCGCATCTCCAGCATCTTGCACAGCTTCAGGCCACACCAAATGCCCACACCATTGCACACCATCACGTCGAGGATGAGCGCATCCCACCAGCACTCGACGAAGTTGGGCAGCAGGTGCGCGAAGGCAATCTCCGTGATCTCCCACATGATGGAGATGGCCCACAGGATGCCCATGTGACGGATAAGGATCGCCTTGAACATCCAGCCGAGGAAGTGCGCCAGCGCGAACACGTCCACGTGCGACCAGATGCGCTCCAGCGTGATGTCCGAGCAATTCACACCGTACTCCTGCCACAGAAACCAAGAGGAAATGTCACCAAATGAGAGAAGATTGCGAAAATCGCCCTTTTCTCACCTTGTCCATGTTGATGTGGAAATTCTTGAGGCCCGGATCGAGCCAGTAGAAAATGCCCATGATGGTCTTGTAGTTCTGGAACATGAGGAACTGCAGGCCGAGCAGGTAGAGCACGGACAGGCCGAAGATCATGCGCCAGACGGCCGGATGGGGGCGCGTGAAGGGTCCATTGGGGAACGCAATCACAGAGACGGTGAGAAAGAAGAAGATGACACAGATGATGCCTGCCCAGATGTTGTCCTCGATGTTGCTCTCATTGCTGCCGGCGCGCGGAATTACATAATCCGGAAACGAGAACGCATCACACAATTCAATTAGCGCAACTTTGTGGGCATCGGGAAAGAGGTTATGATTGCTGAGTGCGAAGAGGGAAGGTGTATGCTCACCGGACAAAGGCGAAGTACATTGCTGAAACTATGGAGACGGCCAGGAGCGTGATGGTGTGTGGTTTGTAGAAGAACTCCAGGGAAATATCGTCCACAGGACGTTCATTGACTGTGATGAACGCGTCCGCATTCTCTTTCCGCCTCATTTTCATGCACTTCACACGTTCACCGCCTAGTGACTAGTCACTCATCCGACCCAGAGACTCCACTATTACTCAGATCTCGTCGGCGCGTGAAAATCCTGCGGAATCCGGCCAGAAAATCTCCCGCTTGAAGGTGGTTCTTTCATGGATGGCACCGCACTCAATGGGAGCGAGAGAGAGAGAGAGAGAATGATAATAGCTGTCAGCGTGTGGACTTTGGACGACCATCGCGTGGTGGCGACACAGGGTGCCTCGTGAGCGCCGCCGGCGGCGTTTTCGGTTGTCAGAACACCCCAAACATAACCCCATTGTTTTGTTTACACTCTTTATGGTACGTGTGTTTTGCGGAAATTCCTTGGTAAATTCAGTGAAAATGCGAATTATTCTCACTACCTGGGCACTGACACGACCCACTGGCGTGTACTGTCGACGGCTGTGCACGGAAATTGCATTGCCACGGGCGCAAAATGATGATTCACCGTTGAGTGTGCCGGAGAACTATAGTGAAATCGAGAGAGCGCCCAATTTGCCGCCTACCTTCAATTTCGCCAGCTACATAAACAAATCCCCAACACTGCAGCAACTCCTGAACCTAGGCGTGGATCTGTACAGTATCGAGAAGCGCAAGGGACTGCCACAATTCGTGCTGAAGCTGGACTTTGAGCGGGACATGAAGCATGTGATACAATTTCTCACCGATCAGGGAGTCCCTCCGGATCGCCTGGGGCACATCATCACAAAGAATCCGTTGATCTTCAAGGAGCACTGCGACGATATGGCCGTGAGGATCAACTATCTGGAGTCGAAGCGCTTTAGTAGAGAACAAATTTCGTGGATTGTGAACAAAAATCCCTTCTGGCTCATGTTTTCCACGCAGAGAATCGACCGGAGGCTTGGATACTTTCAGAAGACCTTTGAGCTGTCGGGCCAGGAAGTGAGACAGATGACTTGCTTGTGTCCTCGGCTGGTTACGTACTCAATGGAACACGTGAGAAAGAGCACATTCTCCATCAAGGAAGAGATGGGCTTCGAGAAGGGGGAAGTGAAGGCTCTGCTGCTGAAACTGCCCAAGATTTGGATGATGAGTATGTTTTTTCGTTAATCTAACAGTCTGTTCTGATGATCAGTTTCCCGGAATCTCTGACAGGTCACGATTCTCTGATGGATCGCTTCCAGTATGTGCACAAGAGCATGGAAATCACCCATGAGCACCTCTGCAGAGATCCTTACATCCTCCTGTCGCGTCAATACCGCATCCGGCAGAGGCATGAGTTCCTGAAGTACTTGAAGAGAGCACAGTATGATCCCCAGAAGGATCTCTATGTGTCCCTGAAAAATCTCGTGGTGGGAAATGACGAGGAGTTCGTCCTCAACATCGCCAGATCCACGATCTCGACTTACAACGCCTTCTTGAAGACTCTTTGAGACAATCTTCATTCATTAGCCCGAAATCACGGAATAATAGAGATTTGATAAAAACAAAGCTTCAAGCTAATGCTAGGGAGTCGTTGTGAATGAAAAAGAGAGGAAAACGAGTCAAATAAGTAAATAGCGATAAGATGATTTAATAAAAAATTATGCAATAATTATTTTGACTGTTCCTTTTTCTCTCCATTCTCTCAGTTTCATTTTCTTCCTAATCGCTAGCCGGATGTGACCTTCACGTAGTTTTCCTTGTCGCTTTCGTCATCAACTCCGCCATTTTTGTTGCGAGACAAAACAGTAAAGCGATAGAGAGTATTCGGCTCCAAATCGCACACTTTGCACCTAGTTTGCGTCCAGTCGTGCACATCTACGTGATGCGTCTCGTACTCGACATCCTTGGTCCAGAAGACCGAGTAATGGAATCCCTCACCGTTGTGTTTGTCCTCAGGCACGGCCTGAGAAAAACGATGTTTATGACATGAATTTTAGGTTGATTATTTCTACAAGCACCTAATTAAATTTGAATAAATAATAATAATAGGTTGATTATTGGACAGAACTCACCTTCCAGGACACCAAGACGCAGCCAGGATCACTTGTGGTCGCTGATAAGTCTTCAGGATCAGTCAAAGGAGCGCCTAGAAGTTATTTGCTGTATTAAATCTGAGTTACATCTCCAATGCATTTCTCACCATCAGCTTTCGCAGTGGCCAAAAGCATGGCGCTGAAGAGGAGAAACACAGTCGTCTTCATTTCGTTCCGCTCACTTTAGAGACGCTTGAGAGTCAAACATATACTGACTCTGGAACCACGAAACTCATCAATAACTAGTCTGTCGAGTCTAATCTTCAATCCCAACGTTTTAGAAAAAAGTCAGACAGTTTTTTGCCATCTCTTAATCTTAAGGTTTATAAAAGGCAAACTGGTTAGACACTGTCGAAATGACTAAAGAAATAAGAGGAGATTTTTTCTCAACAAACAATATGACAATGATTTGAATATATAAATTAGTAATATCTATGAATAAACGCAGACGATTTTAATACCTTGATTAATGTCATGAATGCACTGGAGATTCCACTTCGCAGTGACGACACGGCAACAGAATAAGTTGTCTTCTTATCTTTATTATTTCTCTAATAAACCACAAAATAACTTAAGTCGCACTCGACTGCACAGAAAAATACCCTGATTTTGCCTCTCCTCACACCTCCATTCCCAAATCCGAGGGCTTCGCGCCACTCTTCTTCAGATTCTTCTCTCCGTCCAGCTTCGTCGCCTCCGTGCGCGTGTGCCAGACCAGCACGTCGCGGCATTTGTTCGCCAGCGGCTGGAGTCTGTCCACGCTCGTGACGTGGCGCAGGATCGCCGTCTCCTGGTAGCCGCGTTCCACATCGTAGCTGAAATTGGCTCCGGGATTGTCCAGAATGAGGTCTAGACTAATGGCGAAGCCCGCCATGTCGATGGGAAACTGTCTCTCGGGGCGCCAGAGACTGTTGAAGCCTACCACGCGCTCCTGCGTCGCATCCAGCAGCGGCTTCTCCACCATCAGGCCGCCGACCAGGCCGACTGGCCACACGCCCACGCGTCCTTTCTCGATGCGCTGCATCTCCCTGAACAGCTCAATGCTGTAGATGTTGTCGTCGTCCATGAAGAACACGACACCCGCCTGGCGCGGGTGGCTCTGGAAGTGTTGGCGAATCCAAGCCAGAGCGGTGTTTCTTTGCTCCACTCCGCGCGGTTTGCTCCAGTTGGGATCATTCCTGCCCAGCTTGAAGTTCGACGGCGTCTTGGCGTGCAGCTGAGTACTTCTGGCGCTGAGTCCGGTGCGAGTGAGGATGTTCCGGACAAGAGTAGAAGTCTCTGAAGCGTCTTCCACGAGGATCCAATGGACAAATGGCACGAGCATCAGAGTTTGAGCAATCCTGCGCAAGAAATTGAAGGATCAAGAGGGATTCTGGGTGAATTCCTGTGTCATACCTCGTGAGTTCCGCCTTCTGCACGGGCCTGTAGTACGTTGGTGTGATGGCAAAGACCACATTGGAGCCACTCAAGAGTTCTGAAGAGCTGGCAATTGGGCTACTTTCACGGTCGCACTTCAAAGTGCTTTTGAGGAAGCTATAGAGGAGGAAAAACACCGCCACGATGGCCAGCAAGGAGTAGACGTACTTCCTGCGAAAATCCAACATTTCACAGCTCACAATCACATTATATTCCAAGAAGTTAATCTCTGCAACTGGAGATTCCTGGACCAGTTGGCGGATAAACAAAAAGTCAAATGACATTTCAGGTGGGCAAAAATGCCGGTGCTGAAATATTGGCGCTGATAGTCGAATTTGTGCGCATTCAAAATCCGCGCGCGAAAGGACAATTCTATCTCGGATTTTGGGTCTCTTCTCGCAATATGAATATCATTTTCCTTTGATATTCTGCCAATGATTTGCATTCTCTCTTGGATTTTCCACTTTCGTTCGTGCTAGATTTTTTCCGCGACACCGGTGCAGCGCCACCGGCGTATAACAGTTTGGCATCGCCGTCAGTGGCACGTCAGTGGGAAGAAGAAGAAGAAACAAAATTCCTCCTGCGACTCTACAATTTTCCTCATTTCTTTCGCATAATATTGTAGAAATTAGTGTATTTTGATGTAGTCAGTTAACTGTGAATTCTTGTGAGACTGTTTCCTTGTTTATCGAACAATTGCACCAGCAACGAACTGGAGAAAGTTTCTCAATGTGAAATGTCAACGGGGGGACATTAATAACAGTTTAGTAGACTCACTTTTTATGCCATATTTATTCACTCACGCACGGCCAGTTGTCCGCTTTGGGGGGCGCCAGGGTGCTGGGCAGGGGGGCGCTCATGGGGCGGCGTCGGGCGAGTGCTGGGATGGGGGCTGAAGGAAGATGTTCCGAGGCGGAAGGCCGCGCGCTGACTTTGACAGTGTCACGAAAGCCGTGATCTACTTTTCCAAAAAAGCAAAATGCGTCCAAAAGTGGCCCCCAATAACCCAGATCATGTGTGGTGTCCCATTGCAGGCAGGCAGAAGCGGATGGAGTCGAAGAACCTTGCTCACGAGACCACCAAGTATCCCGAGGCGGTGACGGTGAATTTCAACGGAGTCACCACACTCATGGAGCTGCCTCCGGATGCGCCCCCGGACAGGCTGCACGGCAGTCCGGCGAGGAAGAAAATGAAAAAGTCGAAGAAGGTGCTGAAAGAGTCGCCGGACAGAAAGCAGAGGACTGAGGCGGGCAATAAAAATTCCAATTTCCACATTTTCGACAAACTCAGAGAGCTTTACGTCGAGCTGTCGGCGGAGGACACAGACTTTCAGCACACCAGTGTGAGTATAGAGAGATTCTGGGCAGAGAGAGAAACTCCCTGATAAGGATGTTCTATAGAAAAATACTCCTTGGCAGAACATCCCAATCGGGGAGTGTCCTAAATTGAGGAAGAAATATGATGCATTATGTGAAGAAGGTCCGCGCCTTCGAACTTTAAACGTCCACTTTTCCGGCTTTATATCGGTTCACACACGACCGCATTTTAGTGACGTCTCATCCTTGCCTCTATCATACTGAAATTTTATTCAAATACACTGCGTGAATCGTGAGATATTGGATTTTAAAGTGTAGAAAATCTTGTTTTGAACTCTAGCGCCACTAGCGGTAGTCGGGCGAATTGTCCAACGAGTATCCATCGAAGTTTCACCGGTGAAACTGTAAGTCTGTATTTCATTATAACCCTTTGGTCTTTTCTATCTCACGTTTATGGAATATTATGTGACAAATGCAGTCAAACTGCATACGAAATGATGAATTTTCTGCTTTGATTTGGAGCGTCAATTCCGGCTGAGATAAATTAATATCAATACCAAGATTTCGCATCATTATCGGATTTGTCTTGAAATCTTGATATCTTGAATTGGTTCGTGTCTTGGATCTAACAAGATTTTGCAAGAATGACAAAAACTTTTCTTTCTTCTCTTTTCCGAGCTCCAAACGTTGGAAATCTAACATTTTCCTTGTGTAACTTTTATCACTATAAACACAAAGATGATTTTAACTTTAGTATAACGAATTTGACCGTTTCAGTAGATTCAAAAAATCGATCTTCATTTCCTCATTTCTCTGAAATTCGTCTGACTACCGTGAGTGGCGCTGAAGACATATTTATGAATTTGAGGGACATTCGAGACACGCCCACATTATTACCCCGCCCCTTTTTTCATTGCCCTTTGGGAATTATTCAATGTATGCTATTTGAATGTTGATTGGGGAATTTGATGTTGTCCTGCAGCTTGGGCGGAAGACGTCTTTCCTGCTGGACAAACTGGTGGCTAAGGAGAACCTCAATACGCTGATATTGAATCTCTATCCGGGCAACAAGGGCTACTCGCTGGCGTTTAAGGGCGACGTGGAGGTGCTGGACGTGGGCAATCACATGATGGACTGCAATCCGCAGACGCGGCGGGCGCTGGTGGCGCCCAAGGAGAAGATTCAGGAAACAATCCGGTGGCCTTACGAGGAGGAGGATCTCCTCGAGTGTATCGACAATGAGACGCTGCCGCTTGTGCTCGTCGACCTCTTCCAAACCAAGTGTCCTAATCTCTTCTACTCCGGATGTGTGATCGTGGAGGTGCGCGACTACCGGCAGTCCTTTCCCGTCTACACGTGTGATACATATCATGTGCTGCTCAGGCCCACCAACCAGACCATCCTCGCGGACGTGAACTCGCTGACCAGCCAGGGCCAGTGGACGTATGAGGAGAAGTTGGCGCTGGAGAGCCAGCTGGTGCTGGCCACGGCGGAGCCGCTGTGTCTAGACCCGAATCCGGCCATTGGGATTCACGTGGTGAACAGTCAGCACCAGCGGCGGATGTTCAACACGAAGGACATCCGCAGGAAGACGAAGAAGTTCACGCAAGTCTCCATCAACAGGAAGCGGAAAACCGACCAGTTCACGCACCATTACGGCCTGGATCTCTATGACTACATGTCGCGCTTCAGGCAGAAGATGCGCCATGCCAAGCCCAACAGCGTTGCCGCCGGCGGCACGCTGAGCTCCAGCTCCTTCACCAACTCCATGGCATTCCGGCTGCAGCAGCAGAAGAAGGACGGCGTGGTGCAGCAGCCGCCGGTGCCGTCGCCCTACCTCGGCTTCCCGCCGCTCACGCCGCCCGCCGAGGTGTGCGTGAAGAAGTTCGCGCGCGCGTACGAACGCCCCAAGGAGACCAAGGACTGCATGCCGCAACTTATCGAGGAGTACATCCTGGAGACGGACCACGTGGAGCCGAACCAGCGCGGACGCGTGTACTACATCAAGCTGTCCATCTTCCAGCGGCCGGCCAACAATGAGTACTTGGGTGAGCTGTACGTGGACAAGGACTATCGCGAGGATGTGCGCAACGGCGAGGCGTGCCAATTCACGCTGGGCACGCGCGCCAACGCTAACAAGTACATACAGCAGTTCACGGAGATCATCACGGAAGAGGGACGACTGAGGGTGAAGATCACCCATCTGGTGCCCGGCCAGCCGCCGCGCGTCACGTGCACGGCGGGCGTGCAGGAGCCGGTGAATCATCGGCAGCAGACAATCAACCAATTCCCACCAGCATCGTTCGCCAGCGAGGCGGAGTCGGCGCCTGTGCAGGCGCCCGTGCAGGCGCCTCAGCTGCCGCCCGCCGCCGCTGCCGCCGCCGCCGCGCCGTCGGGCAGCATCATGGTGTTCCAGCAGCCGCCGGGCAACTTCCTGCCCATCCGACAGGAGATGGGCGTGCAGCTGCAGCAGCGCGTGCCAATTGCGGCGAAGCCCACAATCAATGCAATTGTCACGAATCTGATCAGCCCGGAGCCGGCGGGTGCGCAGGCGGCGACAGCGGCGGAGATGTTTGGCCAGAGCCCGAGCAAGTCTAACAACTCCACCATCATCAATCTGCTCAACTCGGCACCGGCGGCCATGAACATCTCCACTGTGAACAGCTTCCTGTCGCCGCCGGCGTACAAAGACATCACTCCCGAGGGCGCCGCGGCTGACGGGAAGACGAAGCCGGGCGCCAAAGTGGGCGCCGTGAAGGCCGACACGGCGCTGCATCAGCACATCAAGCTGCAGACAACTCATCCCATCCCATCGACATTGGTGAGCCAACTCGTGTCGCCGCCACTCAGCACCTCAGTGGCGACCGAGGAGAAGCGCACCGCCACCGCTGTGCCGGCAATTGCCACGAAACGCCCGCCTCAGCAGCAACTCCTGATCGCGAGCCAGCCGTGCAACAAGATCAGCCTTAAGCAGGCCAACTGCACACCTCAAAAGATCTCCACGAAGCTGAGCTTCCCCGTGACGGAATTGACTGGGCTGCTGACGCCGGCGAATCAGGAGATTCACACAATTGCCCCACAGACGGCTGGTCAGGTGGCATTTGCGGCGCAGCCGAAGCAATTTGGGAATTTGCATCAGGGCATTCAGTCACCGCCGGCGCCTCTGGCCAGCAGTCCATCGGCGCAGCAGACGACGACGACGCTGAATCTGCAGGGCATCAGTCTGTCGAGTCTGCAGAACGCCATGGCCACGATTCCGGGCACCTTCCAGAATGTCCAGATACAGATCCCCGGCCTGGCGCAGTCGCTGTCGCTGCCGCTGGCCACGGCAGCCGGCGCCACATTTGCCACGGCCACTAGCCAAGCCACCGGGCTGCTGGTCAACACCGTGCACTCTGGCACACTGAACAGCATCCCCGGCTCCGGCACACAGACTGTCGTGTTAACCAACTCCGCCACGGATTCTGGCACTTCCATGCTCTCGCTGCCACTCGGTGAGTCTCTTGCACGCTCTTTCTGTCCCCCCATTGTGTGTCTAATGTTCCCTTGAAAATCATTGTCCACCTTGTAAATGACTGTGTTTCTATGTGTCGCGCGCATTTCGTGCCGTTTCCCCCACGTGTAGCTCATGTTGTCACCACGGGTCTCAAGGGCATCAATCACCCAAATCTGCGTTCCAATTTAGCTGCCACGGCCAGCACGAGTGGCCAGACTGTCACGAACGCCACGCCGTCGATCCAACTCCTCAGCACACTCATGCAGAGCGGCGTGCCGCTCTCACTGGCGCCGGCTAACGCTACCGCGGTGAAGCAGAAGCCTATCATCATCTCGGAGCCGCAGCAGCAACAGCAGAAGCAACTCAACTCCGTGAAGAAGATCACCGCGACGCCCAATGCGCTGCACGCCAACATCCAACAGGCCGGTGAGTTGTGTTGAATTCCGTTGCTTGGTTTAAGACGACAGAAGCTAAATTTTGCGGTGTCTTTGCAGGCCTAAATGCCGGCCAATTGGTGCTTCCGGCGCAGAATTTCCAGCTGAAGTTCCACAAGCAGACTCCGAACACGTTCGACGCTGGCGGCAGCCAGCAGATAGTGCCCAAGGCGGACGACCAGACTGCCCAGCCCACGTTCGAGGAGATCTACCCCAATTTATAATATTCAGCTGATACTCAGTACACGTGTGAGGTGCGGATAATCATGCTGGAGTGAAACGAGATAAGCGCAGGATGCTTGGGTGATTGTGCGTGGCGCCAGAGAGCGCCACCGCCGAGAGAGAGAGAGAGGGGGAAAATAAAGCAGAATTTTCAATGTTAAGCGATGAGTGTGTGCGATGGGAAATTCGTCCCGCCGGAGAGCTGCAGTTGCATCGGCGGCGGGGAGAGGTCGCGATTCAGCGCGGGCTCGCGTGGCTCGGAAAATCGATATGGAGAAGAGAGCACCGGAAAATTTCGCTGGGATCTGCGCAGTGTTTTCCATGCGCCGAAGCGCCACTCCGGTTCACCCTTCACAATGGCGAATGTTTTGATATATCGTGCTGGTGGTTGGTGACTCTCTCATTCTCCGTGACTAGTTGGCAAGAGGCTGTGGATGCCAGAATTGTGCCCAGAGCCCTCCTGTCTGTCCGTGTGTTCTATGACGCTGCCCAACTATGCCGGGAAGTCGCACGGTGAGTAGCTTTTCGGCGGGGACTCCCCGGAGACATAGTGTGAAAAGTCACCCCTCACCATCGATTGTGGCCTCCGTTCGAGCCCAACTCCCACGGCCATTTTTTCTGCGTGGCGGAAAAGGCACAAATTTCCGCATTTTCACACGCTCTCAGCGTCTTTTTCCCTCATTTTCCGCGGGGAAGCGACAATTGTGACTCCTTGCTGAGTGTCTAGGAGAGGAATTTTGATTGGAAAAATACGAATTTTTCTTCTTCCCTTCGTCCGGAAGATTTTCCTTTTTTCCTCAGCGAATCCCTTTGAGTTTCCATGCAATTTCTCGCAGGAATTGCACAAGACAACAGCTGCAAGTTGAAAGGACTTTTCCAGAGGGTGAAAAGTGCATGAATTAATAATTTGACTGGAAATTGATTGATGATTATTTCTAAGGGTTTATTTCTTGGCGAGCTTGGCGAAGGGCGAATGCACTTGTCGGCGGAAATCATTGATTTTATAGCAATTTGATAACTTTGCAAAAACACCAATTTTGTTGGGCTCAAAATGCCCTTTCTTCGGTTCTTAAACCTTGAAAAGGATTCTCGTGTCATTTCAAAGTCAATTCCTAAGTGTCCCATAATAAAATCGATACTATGAATTATTTTATTTACTTTCCTTGATAGAGGCTTATAATTTTATGAAGGGTAAAACACATCTAGATTTAATGTAAAGTTTCTCCCTATCTTAGCTGTAAGAATTTGCGTACTTTTGCTTCTCTCCGGTAATGCTCAGAACTCTCAAAACCATACTTCGTAAATCATAAACCTTTGTATTATTGATTTTATCAATATCTTTAGGGGAAATCCGGGATAAACGTTAAATTATTCCCAGCATGATCGTCGCATCTTTTGGCGGGCTTTCTTCAAAATTCCCCCGCCATTCTTATTCCCCATTCGCAGCTGCTCTTTTCTGCAGTCAGCAGAAACTCTCGTTGGGTGCGTGAAAAATATTAAAATACAGCATGCAAAGACGCGGCGAAGGCAATTAGGTATACACCTTTCCAGACGTCACACGCCGTGCAATGTGGGTGGGAAAGTGGGTGGGCGCGTGTGACATCTGCAGGTCTTCGCCTGCACACAGTGGTGAATTGCGTGTGGCAACCCCACTTGGCGACCGGAGTTGTTCACCACAAAGCAGCGCTCTCCATCAGTGTGTTCCGTATCGTGTTGGTGTGCGCGCGTGTGTTTTTCTCGTGTCTCTCGCATTCGCTATTATCAGTTTTCCCGGGTGTTTTTTCTCCCAACCACACTTTCCCAACCACTTGGAGGGCGCGAGGAGTGCCGGCAGGTGCATCAGGTGGACAGTCTAGTGAGGGGCGTGCGGGTGACAATCGCGGAGCGCAGAGAGTTTGACCGTGGAACAAGGTGAGAAACTGGTTTGGCGTGGGTGGTTTTGGTGGTGGCGGCGCATCGAAAAGTGGGTGCCCTCCTCTTTTTCTCGCACGTCTGGCCGAAATTCCACACACCGAGATCGCGCCGCCCGCTCAAGCCTTTCCACCCACAATCGCGGTGTGTGGAAAAATCCCCCGAGAACATCCCCCGCATGCCAAGGCATTCCAACGGACCCTTCGGCTAGGGGAGTTTTTTTTTCCCGTGTGCAAGAGCGCTGCCGACGGGCGAAGAGGTGGAGGAGGAGGAAAGGAGTCTCTCTCGGTGATCAAACACCCAAAAAATTCTTGGAGTTTCTCTCTTCCCACCTTCTTTCGCCGCAGACAAAACGCCACAGCGCTCGACACCCCACAGACGGTTTTTGGGTGAGGGAAAGAGACCGATCGCAGCACCCTTTGTTCCACTGCCGATCCGGGCCCAGGAAGTGTGGGTCGCATCGCACGCAGGCGGTAGTCAAATGAGATGGTGTGCGCGCTGGGCTGGAGTGGGCAGAAAAAGAAGGTGGCTCGAGGGGTTTCTCACTCCAACCCAGGAGGCCCCCGGGGGGATTTTCTCCCAGAGCGAGAGCAGAACTCTGCGGGAATTTCACGTCTTGGGCCACATAATGCTTGGCTGCTCTACTTTTATCAGCATTTTTTATTCCATTTCAGTGGAATTACTTAACTTTCTCAGTAAATTTACCGAAAAACAGCCTTAAAATTTGATAAAAAATATTTATCAACGTGTTTTTCTCATTATATTTAAATACTCTGAATGTATCTTCTATGAGATTTGTTGTTCTTAGTTTGTCTTTCGTAGGACATTATTTTAAGTGTTCAAGGAAATATTCTACTACAATCAATGGAAAGTCCCTCTCAAATAGTCCTGTAAAATAGTCACACAGAAATCTTTATTAAAATACATTGATGAAGCATGTTAATGAAAATGTGAGATTGAAAATTATTATTCGATTAGGTCGTTGGATTTTCTCTCAAAGAGTTTTTTCACGGTCCAAAATTTCGCTTAGAACACTCTCACATGGTCTTGTGTGCTTTTGATGGATTAGTTAAAATCAATTTCTGTTCTCTGCATGGGCTGAAGACACTTAAATTGACACCCTTGTGCAGAAATTCGATACTGATTGGCTTTTAAGTTTCCCAATTTAATTTAAACACAGTGTCTTAGGCGATGTGGATATTTAACAGTCAATAAATGAATATTCATTGCGATTGGGGAGTAATTAGCAAGCCATCCGACAAGGCGTCTTCGGGGAAGCGCTCACACAAGTATCACACTCCTCCCCCTCCCAGCGGCTGCGGCTGCGACTGCCTCACCCTCCCGCGAAGTCTGTTGCGCCGCCACACAGCGCGACGAACAAAGAGCGGAATGTGGGCGATGCGAAAGACACCCTCGGCTCAGGCCTGCCGCTGCGTGACGTCGGCAGCGAGTGCGGCCCTGCCTGAGCCTCCCACACATGTGTGTTGGGTTATGGGTGAAAAAAAATGCTGCCTGGCCGATTGGCTGTCTCGCTCTGGCGCACATCGTGGGCCTCTGTCGCCCTAATTGTGTGTGTTGGCGATTTTTGTGGAGGAATCTCCGTAATACGAGCCACCTCGCCCATCTTTCTCCCTTCTCTCTATATCGCCTTCTTCCACCCAAGGGGTTCCTCACTCGCCCAGCCGCTCGCCGCGTTTCCCCGCTGCACGACCCTTGATCCGGGTTCGGGATTGCCACAGCAATTGTCACAGTTGAGCATTCTGGTGCGAGAACTCGGGGTGTCCTGGAAGGAATGATATTCAAATTTACACAAACGGGCTTAAAGGCCTTAAAAAACTCTGTTGATTTTAATGTTTCACCCTGTTTTTTGCTGAAGAAGAAGTGCACAGAATTGCATTTTGAGAGATTCGCATCTGCTTATACGTTAAGCAAAGTCTTTAACTAGCTAATCTATCGCTGAAAAATTAATACAAAACGAATTCTGCATAATATTTCTCCTTGTGTTCCTGTAGTTTTCCTTTTTATTTACTTCTCTGAGGTATTCCAAAAGCCCCGCCCATTCTTATGCTCCGCCCTCATTGTGATGTTTTTCTGATCATTGTTTTGGCGAGTGTTGTGTGTTGTAAATTAAATTCCGGGACATGTTGCAAGATGACCGATAAGATTGGCACTTGAGTGATTTGTAAGTCAGGGTCGGAAAGAGAAGGCATCGACGAACTCAGGCATTTTCGTCATGGCGTGCAGGAATTCCAATTGACTCATGCTTCCTGTGTGCTGCAGATCCATCTCTTGCAGCAGAACCTCTGAGATGCTGTCCTTGTCCTCGGCGCTGAGTCTCGAGGGAGTCGTTAGGCGATCAAGCAGGACACTGATGTCGTCCGTGGAGATTTCGCTGTCGCCATTGAAGTCGAAGAGTCTGAATGCCCAGGCGGCTTTGACTTTGAGTGGACAATTCTTTGACATCACGGAGCACAATTCGAGGAAATCCTCGAAGGAGAAATGATTGTCGCTCTGCGATGAGAAGACGGTGAAGATTTCCTTGCGAAAAGGGTTGAACTTGAAGAAATGTGTGGGAAGTTAAGTGGGTGGGAAAAGAGCGCCTCAAGGGATTTTTCTTCTCGCTTACCTTCAATTGCGGAAATTCCTCCGTGACGAGGTGTGAATTGAAGCGAAAGTGAAAGTCCGTGGCGATTTGTGATGGTCCGAGCTTGAGGAATCTCTTGAAGATGTAGTGAATCTCGTGCTTGGTGAGAAAGGTCAATTCTGCATATTCGTCTAGTTGTTCTGTCGTCAAGATACTCTCGTTGCTTCCCATCTTTACGGAAGGGCCACTCGAGACTGCGGCGTTCTTCCTCCTTCATGCAATTGATTGCCGATGCTTGTGGGTGGCGATTAGATAACGTCCTGTCTAATTAGAGGCGATAAGAGAGGGAGAGAGAGATAATTGAGAGTGCTCGAAGCAGTCAATTGCTAATCAATCTGTGCCTAATTGATATATGGTTTGTCGCTCTTTGCAGAACACCACTGAGGACTGCAGGTACTTGGTAGAAGAAGAAGACTTGAAAGCAGCGGGCGGAGCAGATGGCGACGCTAATACCCACAACGCAGACGACGGGCGTCGAGGCGTATGAAGACATGTTCAAGGAGATCACCAGGAAGCTGTATGGCGAGGAGACGGGACATGGCCTTCACACGCTCGGGACGCCGATGGCTCATGTAGCCACAACGGGACCGACTCTGCCCGAGGGTGAGCGATCCTTCACCACCCTTATGGCGGATCGCAGTCTCACCACGATTGAGTATGAGAACAATGCCAGCGAGGCGAACAACACATTCAAGACGGAGGATCACATTACGACGGCTTTCGGCCTGGCGGCGCTCATGCAGAATGGCTTTCCGCCGCCGAGCGCCATCAGTCACAATTTCCAGTCCTCCTCGGCGGCGTCGCGCAACGGGAATAACTTTATGGTGAATGACGAGCGATGGCCGGCGAATGCTGAGGAGTGTCTGCCGTGGAATGCCAATAAGAGCGCCACGTACAACTGCAACCAGAAGTCTGCTGGCAAGCACAAGGGCGGCGGCAGGGAGTTCGCTGAGGCGCCCGGCGATGCCCAGACCAGCAGTGGGCCGAGTGGCGGCGGTCAGAAGGGCCAGAGCTCTGTGCGCGGCGGCAGCAACTCAGGCGGCGCGGCTACAAAGCGCTACAATTGCCAATCGTGTCCCTACTCTACAGACCGGCGGGACTTGTTCACGCGCCATGAGAATATCCACAAGGACGAGAAGCCGTTCCACTGCTATGCATGCCTTAAGCAATTCAATCGCGCAGATCACGTGAAGAAGCACTTCCTGCGGATGCACAGGGAGCTCAACTATGACATTAACAAGACACGCAAGAGTCAGTCGGGCAGCTCGGCCGCCGCCGGCACTGCCAAGCCGGCCAACTACAGTCAGCCGCAGCAGCAGCAGCAGCAGCAACACATTAGCGAATTTCTGGGCGCACGGTCCGCCGCCGCGGCTCCCGAGGCCGCCACAAATGGCCAGGGCGCGCAGGAGATGATGCCGGCGAGCAATGAATCGGAGCCGGTGGCGGAGAAGATGCACATCAGCGAGGTGCACGTGGAGAAGAAGATGTCGATGAAGAGCGAGAAGGTGAGCAACAGCAGCTCGCTGCAGGGCGCGAAGAAGAAGCAGGGCGACAAGAGGTACGTGTGCTGCTACTGTCCGTGGACGGGCGCGGACAACTGGGGCCTCAAGAGGCACCTCAACACCCACACCAAGCCGTTCGTCTGTATCATGTGCGACTACAAGGCGGCGCGGTCCGAGAGGCTGGCCACGCATGTCTTCAAGGTGCACAACAAGAAGGCCTGCAACAAGTGCAATTTCCTCGCGGACGACCAGGCGCAGTTCATGACGCACCAGACTGAAGTCCAGTGAGTTGTTACTATCATTAGCCATAATTTGTAGATGCTTCTGGACTAATCTCTCACCATCTTCTGACCCCCTTTAGTCCGCATGACGCGCGACCGGCGCGATCCGCCGGCGGTGGCAGTGCGTCTTGTACAGTTTTAAGATCGATTAGCAACTCTTTCGTACAAAACACAGCGTCTCAATTAACCAATAATACCAATTCCACAGCATCTGGCCATACATTTTGGTGAGAACTTTGGTGTCTCATGTTCGTTGTGTTTTTTTTTTTAAATCTTGAATGCCTTCCTTGGTTCGCACCGCTGTTATTTTCTTTGTTGTTTTCCCTCCTTTTGTTTTATCGTCAGAGTTGCACACTCTGGCGTCCTTTTGCTGTGCACAGTGTGTGGACAAATGTGCGAGATTGATCAAAAAAGACATCTCTTCCGCAGCTCCCTGACGCACAACTCCAGCGTGGACAATTGCGCCACAGGATCGAGCTACAGCGCCAACAACAACCAGAACCTGAGTGATCTCGGGATTCAGCAGTGGCGCAGCGCCAACAGGGGCGCCAGCAACTCGACGAACCAAAAGAAGGGCGCCGAGCGCCTCTTTCAGTACATGGAAGCTGACGGAAGTGACCCAGAGGATTACAGCCGGTGAGTTTCTATTTCTCGATAGGCGTTTAGAGAGCCAAAAAGACGCGTAGAATATCATTGGGATTCCTTGAAATCTTTGGATTGAGCCCTGGTTTTCTCTCTCTTTGCTTTGCAGCCAACTGCGGATGGCGGCCCTGAGTCGAAACACCGCTTCAGTCGCCCAGGATTTTCATAATGCGGGGGGCGGAGACAAGTTGATTGTTCCACCATCACTGGCCATCCTTGGCAGTCTGATGGAGCAGTTGATGCAGCAGCAAGCGAGGTGGGAAGAGTCCAATGGTGATGAGAGTGAGGAATCTCATGATCAGGCGTGCGACTCTTCGGCAGCAATGAGTAATTCGCCTCCCGCGATAAATCACTACCAGCAGAGCAATGGGAAGAAGAACCGACGACGGAGTTGTCATGACAAGGAGAACACCAATGCGATTCCTCACAAGTGCGACAAGTGGGACGAGAGGATGTGGATGAAGGAGATCATTGGCATGTACCAGGCGCACCTGAGCGCCATGCGCAGCCGCCAGGCGGCGGCGGCGGAGAAGAGGCACCGCAAGCAGCTGCAGCCGCGCAAGATTCCGCAGCGCGAGACGTCGAACATCGTGCGGATCCGCGATAAGCACCTCACGCGGTTGGTGTCGCGCCAGAAGTCCTGCCAGATATGCGTGTATCGGCACAAGTGCGTCGTGATGCCGTTCCACTCGAAGGCGTCACTCATTCTGCACACGCTTTGGCGCCACAGCCATCGGCGCTTCGCCTGCTCCATGTGCCAGGAGTCCTTCGCGAAGCGCTACAAGCTGATGCTCCACCAGCAGATCGCCCACAAGAGGCGCACGTTCAAGCTAAGAAAGCACTCGAACAGAGACACATAAAGATGGTGAGATAGGGAGAAAGAGAGAAAGGAGAGTTCATTAGTAATTTACAATTATAAAAGTATATAAAGATTATATTTAAGGGGGATTGATTGAGTGAGAAGGAGACAATTCAATAAGGGAAAGAAGGGAGTAGGGGGAGGAAATCCAAATGATATTTGATGGGAAAGCATGACACACACACACTCACTGTAGGAGTAAAGATATGTATAATTTCTAAGGAGAGACGGACAAATAGGTTCTGAAAGAAGAAGAAGGAGAAAAAAAGCGTAGAGGATTTGTGACGATAAAAGACAATGCTAAGACATTTTGAATGTATATAGGAATGCTATACTTTGCGCCCCACTTTTACCAATTTTATAGTTTTATCACAACACAAAATATCTCACCCATTCTTTAAAATCATCAAGCTGAATGATGAGTTGTACCATGGCATTTAGTCTCACACGATTTAATGTAATTATTAATGTAATTTTCATTGTAATTTTTGGGAGGAAAATCCGGTGGATTGTGGAGGATTTTAGGTGATATATTATTTAGTTTGTACGATCAGGAGTGCCTTCAAGATGCACTCCTTGAAGAGCTAGCGAGAGAGAGAGAGAGAGTGGAAGAAGAAGCACAACGAACTACTCTTTATCAAAGATTCTTGGCCACTGATTAGCGGCGTGACTTTATTTCCGGTCAGAATCGACAAATTGCGCACTCAGCGCGTTCACGGAGGAGTCATAGGCGGCCTGGAAGAAGTTCCCCGCCGCCAGATCGAGGCTGTATCTGGCCACGAAGTTGTCCAGGGCGAAGTTGCGGCGCAGCGAAGTGTTGTTACTGGGAATGCGCGGCTCGTCGAAGAGCGTCTGGCCGCCGCGCTGGCGATAGAGGAGGAAGATGTAGCGATGATGGCCGGTGTTCTGGCCAGGTATGGCGCCCATGTACTCAGCCACAGTCTCGCCCTGGTGCAGGGCGTGCGTGAAGCGATGCCCGGGAATGTTGACGGCCATGAAGTGCAGGAAGTTCGCCTCGAAGGGATTGTCGCGGCTCGGCGCGTCGGGATCGATCAGGACGAGAGTGTAGAAGCCGCGCAGGCTGATGCCGCACAGGAGGCACTTCACCACGACCGGCGGATTGCGCACCGCGCTGGGCGTGAGCTCCTCGCCCAAGGAGACGCGGTTGAGGCGCTCGTAGATCACTTCGAGCTGTCGCTGGGGCGCCACGGGAATCACATTGGGCACAATTTGGGCGGCGCGGAAAATGCCCGGAACGTCAGGGCCGAAAAAAGCCCAACCGCCGGCGGCGAAGAGAGTGAGGAAAACGACGAGAATCTTCATTGCAGCGGCGTGTAAGAAAAACTCCCTGAAAAGGCGCAATAGAGAGAGCTTTTATAGGCACCTTGGCCGTGATAACGAGATACGGAAACATATGTGACGAAAAAATTGGGGATTGACTGTGCAAATAACATACTCATTTTCCCTCTCTCGACTTCTTATGATTCATGAGAAAGTTATGATTTACAATGGCCATTTCCGACATGTTGTCTCTCTTACAATTACTTGATAAAGAATGTGTAAATGTTATAATTTCACTAAGGAAAAAATAAAGAGGAAGAATGTAATAAAATTTTAGTGCATTTTCTTTGAAAAATATTAAATGAGCGCGCGGAAAATCACAATAAGGGGAAATTATCCAACTTTATCCAGGGAGTCGCGCGCTTTTTGTCCCAAAATCATAACCTCACAAAAGTGTGATTGTTTACCTGTTGAATGCTCGCGATTTTCCGCTTTTCTCGCTAAAATTAATAGGCAAAACCTCTTAATTTTCAGTAGAAATGTTTACCCAAAGAGATTGGCATCGAATATTGACTACAGCGAGAGAGTAAGAAGTTGGATTTAGGAAATTTTAAGGATATTCAAGTTATGTTTACATTTCTTACAGGGATGAACGAGAGGCTTTTTTGAGAATGATGCTACACAATGAGAGGCAAAACTCAGAAGAACCTCTTGAACAAGTTAATTCCTTAACAGAGCCTTTCTTGAGGCCGGAAGATGTCCAAGGACTTCTGGAAGGCATTTCGCGAAAAAGTGAAATAACCATTGAAGAATTGGAGGATTTGTGGAGTGATTCTGAAACAGCTGACGATGCGACATCCCTTCCGTCCCAGAAGTCTACGGAGAGTTTTCAGCAAGATTCACAAAAATGCCTCCAAAGCAGTGAAGAGATGGACATTGATTTAGGCCAGTTGGATGAAATTTTCTCCCAGGATCCGACAAAGATGCCTTACGAGATGATGAAAGGCTTTATCGACCCGCACAAAGAGACTCAAGCAGAGCCTCAAAAACCTGCCAGCAGTATTCCCAGACAATCCTGGAGAGCAGAGTCTCGCAAGGAAACATTTTTGAGGGTGAATCCTCCGGAAGAAGAGCCAACGGCGCCCAAGAAGGCCTTTATAACGGCCCGGAAAGAGCTTCAAGTGCAAAATTTGATAAAATATGGCAGGGAAACGCGTTCCAGCGCTCCGCGGATGAGAGCAGTGGGTCTGAGCAAGTCTCAGGCCCCTGGGAATCTGTCGAAGGAGGTGAAGCAGAAGGAGATTGTAGAGGAGCCTCCTGAGCAGTTCAGCAACATCGATCCCAACATTGTGGAGATGATAAAGAATGAGATCATGATGAGGGTGCCTATGGTGCACTGGAAGGACATCATGGGCCTCACGTACGCCAAGAAGATCATCCAGGAGGCCATCGTTCTGCCGATGCTGCGCCCGGACATCTTCACGGGCCTGAGAAGGCCGCCGCGCGGGATTTTGCTTTTCGGGCCGCCGGGAACGGGCAAAACGCAGATTGGAAAGTGCATTGCTTCCCAGACGAAGGCGACATTCTTCAATATCAGCGCCTCGGCGCTGACTTCCAAGTATATCGGCGAAGGCGAGAAGATGGTGCGCGGGCTGTTTGCCGTGGCATCTGCTAAGCAACCGTCGGTGATTTTTATCGATGAGGTGGATTCGCTGCTGTGTCAGCGATCAGAGAACGAGCACGAGAGCTCGCGCAGATTGAAGGTGAGAAAACATTTGTCATCAATGAAACGATGGAATTGGAAAGACTTTCTCTTGTAGACGGAGTTTCTCGTGCATCTGGACGGTGCGGCGACGAATGAGAATGAACTGGTGCTGGTTGTGGGTGCCACAAATCGTCCACAGGAATTGGACGAGGCGGTGAGGAGGCGATTTGTGAAGCGTCTGTACATTCCTCTGCCAATCCAGGAAGCGCGACAGGAGATGGTGAAGTCACTGCTCGAGAATGTGAGACACAGCCTGACTGAGCGGGATGTGATGGAAGTGAGTCGATTGACTGAGGGCTTCTCGGGGGCTGACATGAAAACCCTGTGCCAGGAGGCGTCAATGGGCCCCGTGAGGCTGATTCCCATAGACAGATTTCAGGATTTCAACAGTGCAGACGTGCGGCCGGTGATGTACGAAGACTTCCGCACCGCCATGGAGTGCGTCAGGGCGTCTGTGTCGCCCAAGGATGTGGAGAGTTACCTGGAGTGGGACAGGATGTACGGATCTGGAGGGAAAGGACAATAAATTGGCGCGCGCCTGGGATAAAACCCTGCAAATGTCTTCACCGACAGATGGCGCTGCCAGAGCCACTCAATCATCCAATCGTCAGATCACTTGAGGAATTGCCTCCGATCAGTTCGCATTTCTCAGCAGTTTCCGCCTGATTCCACAGTTCTTCCGTGATGGCAAGTGTGGCTAAGATTCTCGTGGGCCGTGTGGGCACCATTGCCAGGGCGTCCACGGCGTCAAATCTGCGGATGTTCTCATGTAAGTGTGCCGATAATCGGCGAGTCTGATAAGGAGATTACATAATGTCGGGAACCTTGAAAATCATCTGTGGGGGTCTTTACAGCCGCCCCGGCGTATGAATTCATCAAGGTGGAGAAGTCCGGTGAGAAGAGCAACGTGGGCGTCATCACGCTGAACCGGCCCAAGGCTCTGAATGCTCTCTGCAATGGTCTGATGACGGAGGTGAGCAAGGCTCTGGATCTCCTGGAGGCGGACACGTCCGTGGGCGCGATTGTCATCACGGGCAGCGAGAAGGCGTTCGCCGCGGGGGCGGACATCAAAGAGATGCAGAACAACACATACGCCAAGTGCATCATGGGGAACTTCCTCAATGACTGGACGCGCGTGGCCAAGACGCAGAAACCAGTGATCGCGGCGGTGAATGGATACGCCCTCGGCGGAGGCTGTGAGCTGGCCATGATGTGCGACATCATCTATGCTGGGGACAAGGCCAAGTTTGGGCAGCCAGAGATTGCCATCGGCACGATTCCCGGCGCCGGCGGGTCGCAGCGACTGACACGTGTTGTGGGCAAGTCCAAGGCCATGGAGATGTGCCTCACGGGTGACATGATCACCGCCCAGGAGGCGGAGAAGATGAACCTGGTGAGCAAGGTGGTGCCGGCGGATAAACTGGTGGACGAGGCAGTGAAGCTGGGCGAGAAGATCAGCAAACACTCGCCGCTGATTGTGGCGCTCTGCAAGGAGGCCGTCAACACGGCCTACGAAACTACTCTGGCCGAGGGGCTGAAGTTCGAGAGGCGCCACTTCCACGCCACATTCAGCACCAAGGATCGCCTCGAGGGCATGACGGCGTTCGTGGAGAAACGCCCGCCGAACTTCACCAGCGAATAACCAGCAAATGGAAAGAGTTGTGGAACTGTTGCATTTATTCCCCAAGTGGATTTTACATTTATTAAAGCTTGCACCCTATTTGGTAACATACTGAAGAGAGAGAGGGCTTTTTTGGCGGGCTTCCGGGTTGTGCTTTCTCTTGCCGGTGTCAGGAAGTGTTGGATAAAGTGGGATAAGATTTCCCCGTCAGAGGTCGCGGCAGTGCGGCAGCGGCTCAAATAAATTGCGAAGCAGTGAAAGTTGCGTGGATTGTGCAGTGATTCTCCTGTGACGAGGAAGAGTGCTTTGAGTGGCCAGAAGACACCCTGACACGCTGCCCTAGAGAATGTCTGTGGCTCCAGTAGTGATTGCGGCGACTGCCAAGCACACGGCCACGGTATTTATCAACACACACTGTCCTCTCGGTCAGGCCACTAAAAAATCAATAATTAACATTTCTAGCTGATCTTCCTGCACGGCCTCGGCGATACCGGGTAATTATACTTTTCTTCGCTCTGGTAAAGTCCCCCCGAACATGGGGGGATTTTGCAGAGCTCCGCCCTGGGATGGGGATGTACAATTGTCCTAACCTCTCTCTTCTTTCCTTCCGCACAAACACCAACACACTCACGCACACAGGCACGGCTGGGCGACGGCGATGGCGGGCATCCGGACGCCCAACATGAAGGTCATCTGTCCCACGGCGCCCACCATGCCGGTGTCCCTGAACGCCGGCTTCAGGATGCCGTCGTGGTTCGACCTGAAGACGCTGGACGTGGGCGGACCGCAGGACGAGGAGGGCATCCTGGCGGCCACGGTGAATGTGCACAAGCTGATCACCGAGGAGATCAAGGAGGGCATCGCGGCCAGTCGCATCATCATCGGCGGCTTCTCGCAGGGCGGAGCACTGGCTCTGTACGCTGCACTCACATTCCCAGACGCTCTGGCCGGCGTGATCGCCCTGTCGTCGTGGCTGCCGCTCCACAAGGTCTTTCCCGCGGCGCGCAAGTGTCCGGATTCGGTGCCCATATTCCAGGTGAGAAGAGAGAAACAGAGAGAAAGAGCAGGAAGTTCAAGGCTGTCGCTTGCACCATAACGTGACGTCGAGCAATTAATGCAGTCATTGTTCATTTCTCCGGTCAATTTGCGCTTTAATTAGGCATTGATAGTAATTCTATTCCTTATCTCTCGTTCTTTGGTTGCATCAGCGATCAATACAATCGACTAGAATGGGGAAGCTCTTTTGCCCGTCAGTGTTCCAATTTGAATATTGATAATGAGCTACAATTGCTCGTCTTTTGCGGTCAAATCCAATAAGGAAAGATAAATGAACCAAATTTATCTCTTTTCCATCCAACAGGGACACGGCGACTGCGATCCGGTGGTGCCCTACAGATATGGACAGCTCACGTCGACTGTGCTCAAGACCTTCATGACGAAAACCAGCTTCACCACGTATCGCGGCATGACGCACAGCTCGTCGGACGAGGAGCTGGAGGACCTGAAGAAGTTCGTGGAGGAGCAGGTGCCGCGCGTGTAAGCCAACGTCTTCCTCTCTTCTGTTTGGACCCCTGAGCGGCATATTGTTTCTCCCTTTTCCCAACACAGTGTAGGACAATTTAGAAACTCATACAGAAGTGTCTCCCAAGCAAAAAGTTGAGGGACAATGTTCAGATCCAATTCTTCACGCTGCGTCGGCCTAGTTTGCAGGGTGATTTGCAGTTTTTCCATCCGATTCCGCGCGGGGTGATTTGGGCCACGCAACCTGCAATCACTCTTCCTATTCCAGTTCGTCAGCGAACTTCCTGAAGTGCGCAATCAGCTTTTCTCCCCTGATAGCGCAGGATTTATCCTCCTGCCAATGAATTGAAGCATTTTCCAAATCACTTTTAGTACAGTTTCTCTTTGTACACCATTAAATACTGTGTTCTGCTCAGTCAATTCTGGCTTATATTAGAGATCTTCAGATCTCAAGGTGTGGAAAGAAACATCACGACTTATGCTAACGATGTTGCTATCGATTAATTCCGTTCCTCATTGAAGGATGATTTGGCATTGGAATTCAGTGTAATGTGTCAATTATTCTTTAGGCGCGCTCTTGCCAAAGGGAGAAGAAAGCGAGGGATGAGAAAAGTTCGATGGCTCAGCTGATTACATAGTAAATGATATCGAATCCAGTCGCATTTACAAACATCCAAAAGGCCACACAATTTGCGTAGAGACTCTTTTATGAGCATCTTCTGCTGTTTGTAGGAACGATTGCTGGTTTTTCGTCACTTCCTTGACTTGAATGCGTGATTATGCAGATCATCTAAGCGACATAGATTTTTGACTAATGAAGCAAAGTGTGTGTGACTTGAGTTGACTTTGTGGCTCAATTGCACCTGGTGAAATTCGATTGCCATGAATACAAACTCGCGACGGCGATTTGTATGCCGAAGGCGGCACTATCAATTGAACCAATGCCAGATGGGTCGCGCTAATCGGGTGGAGTATTAAATAATTCAAAGCATGCCTCGTGACCTTCGATGTCCCACAACTTTTTGCGCCCACTGTAAACTTCCCCCAACTGAATTTCTCCTCCTGAAAAACGGACTCACGAGACACACAATACAATATATCAATGTGTAAATGGACTAACAATATATTAGACAACATATAAGGTATATAAATTAATGGACTCCGTCTTTAACCACTCACTTCGGCACTTGCGATTTGTTGTCACTCCTTTTGTCCCTCAAGAATCGCCGAGAGTCAAAGAGAGTGAAATTTTGTGAGAGGATAAATTTCCAATTGGATGATTTGTAAACTTTCGTGGAGGTATTTTTCTTCAGGTAAAAAAAAACCCGTCAATGTGATTGAGACTTGAGATGATATTTAAGTAGCGAAGAGAGAAGTGAAAAAAAATCTATAAAAGTAGTAAATATTAGGCGTTTATTGATTCCTTTGAGTGTTTGCGCGTCGGAGGTGAAGAAAGGAAGGAGTAAAAAAAAATAAAAGTCGAAGTAATGAGATTGTCATTAGGTAATAATAATAAAAAAAAATACTGAAAAGAGAAATACAGTGGAAAAAAAGTAGTAATATTTAGATATTTTTCAATATAATACGACTTAGATAAAACAGAGTAAATAATAATTCTGTCCCTCTTTTCAAATGTTCTTTATTTTCTTATTTCTTTTTTTGTTTGAATTCAAAGCAGAATTATGAATTTTCACATTGTAATTGAAATACTTTGCATTTCTAATGGCAATAATAAAAATTCTTTAAATCAAAGATTATCGCACTCTTTCTCAGCGTCAAGGATCTCCTCAACACTCTTTCTCCCTCACTCTCTCTTTCTATCTCATTTATCACAGCACTTTTTAAGATACAATTCACTTTGTCCAGTGTGTGGTTTAATTGGATTTTTTTCTTATCAACTTTGTTTCTATAAACTATTTTGCTTTTTCATCGTTTCCTACACGAAAAGGGTTAAATTTGAGGGGAGGAAATATCACTAATGCGAATCCTTCTTTCCATGATAAGTTCATCAATCACATTTATTTTTTGCTTCCTGTCTTGCTTTTCTACGGTTATTTTGATTTATTTTTGAAATTGAGAACGATCTTTTTCCTTCTTTTTAGAATTATTTGGCAACTAGTTTTTTTTCAATGTCGCATAGATTGATTACAATTTAGTGCTCATTATTTCATCTTCTGATTTTTTTTTTATTGTCTAAAGCGCTTATTTTTATGGATCAAAGATATTATCATTTGGTGATTTATTGATTGATTGAAAACTTGAAAATTGGTTATCTAACTAATATTTCTTGTTTCATTAAAATTTAATCTCTTCGTAAACTTATTGAAAGTCGTTAAATTGCACTTTGAACCTTTAATTGTGACCAGAATTATCAATTAAATTGGTCTACGCTATATTTTCTTTTAATTTCTAACATTATGTCATGCAAAAATTCAAACACACTCTTCCTCATCTTCTATCTAAATCTATCTAATTCTTGGTGAAACGAACATTTTGAGTGGTAAAATCACAGGAAAGTCACTAATCGAAAGAAATGATAATCTCTCTCGCTTGAACGACGGTGTGTTTGAAAAGGGTGGCGATTAAGGCAAGAACAATTCTTTTAATGTCTTAAAGTGTGCATTTTTTTGTTGTTCAAATCTATTCAGCTATTTTTATATCGTAAAAATCTTTGTCCTCCGCGTTGGAACACGTGTACAAAAGTAGAAATTGCATTAATTGCAAGATTCAAGAATATCACGAAGGAAAAACTGCTCGATCTGCGTGTGTGGTCCTATATTTAGAAAATATATGGCTTGAAAGATTTCTTCGTATATATTCTGAGCTTAATATCTTCTGCAGATATGTCTAGAATATTCCCCACTCCACCTCCCTCTTCATCCATCAATTGTCTGTGACTCTTTTGCGGTGTTGAACAGCACTTGTGAGAGGTGCAATTAGAATGCTTGGATGGGCCGATAGAGTCCTGTGTAGCCGCAAAGGCGCGCCCTCAGGGCGGGAATGAGGAACGCCGCGGCTGATATGTCCTTCAGCAGGTCGGCACACTCGCACACCAGCAGGTACATCTTGTCACCCTTCAAGGAGGTGCTTTTGTGGAGCGCAATTCGTCTCAGACCCGCCGTTCGCGGCAAGTATCTGCGCATCGAAACCACCCTTCAATAAATTACCCCATAAATTGAGAGCATCTATATCTCACCTGTAGAGCATTCGAGCGCCTGTCCAATACAGCCAATTCCTCTCGAAGCGCTCACCATCGTCGCCCTCAAACACCTGCAATATGAAGATTTCCACCATTAGCAGGGATTAGAGCGGAAAGCATCAGGTGATCTAGTCCGCACTGTCTTGGCACTTTATCACGCGAAATCCGCATGCAAATATTAGGACGAGTGCTCGAGTGGAAAGAATTTGAGTAATCCACTGCAATAATGTTATCTTTCTCATGGGATTCTGATTACACAGCCGGCAATGTGTGCCGGTCCAGGTGCGCTTCAACTCCTTGAATTAGAATTGTATTTTGCATAATTTATCCACTCGAAATATCACTCTTCTTCTAACTTAATTCACTGATTTTCCTTGCTCTTCTTATCCAATTCAGTGATAATACTTGTTCTGCAGATGATTGTAGAAGAGAATGGGATAGGAAAATTAATCTCTTCAGCGGTGACAGCAATTTTCCCTTTTCTAACACAATTCCGACAACAAATGACTCTTGGATCGAGTCAATGTGTATCTGTGCTAATGCAAATTTATACAAATAATCTTATATAACGCGTGACAATTTATGAGAGTGTGGCTGAAAGCATGTAGCGAAAGCACAACTAACGTCTTCTAATTATTTACCAGCATCACACAATCTTATCTAAGATTTAGCGCAGTTTTCTTCCACTGTGAATGCACAACCAATTTCCGGGCGTCAAAGGCCATAAATTGTGAATGCTCTCGAGCACTTGCTGCCAAATATGCTGCGCTTTGTTGCATTTTGTAGACTGCTCGGCAGCCTGAACATACCTTGTACACACTTATTATGTATCCCGTGGAGGGCGTTTGGGCTTTCCGCAGCGCGCCAGCCTCATTGGAAGTCATCACGAGTGGCGGTCGGCATATCGACGCGACCTCGCTGTACAGATCCAGCGTGTGGGCGGCGGTGTAGCGCAGGTTCTTCGGCTCGAACTTGCACAGCGACGACGTCCGCACGCCCGAGTAGAAGTTCGACGGGTCGGTTTGCGTGGTGTTGATCACGTAATAGGCGATGAAGGGGAATTCGGCTGCGTGAAGATGACACACGTGAGATGCTGTGAAGGTGAAGTGCAGGGATTTCCTGACTTACCGTTCTTCTCCATGTTGGCCAGGAGCATTCCGCCCACCGCCGAATTGCTCTGCTGCACCTCTGACACCAGCTCGGCCGCCACGGCGCGCTGCTTGAGGAGCGGATGCGAAAGTGGGGACTCCAGGAGGGGATCAATTGGCTCCAGTGGACTCATGAGGTGTGCCAAGATGCACAGCTTGGGATCCGACACCTCCAGGACACTCAGTGGCCCCGTGGATTGCTTCTCGTTCGCTTCACTGGGCGCGGGCAGCTGGCCAGAAACAGACACACAGAGCACCATTAGCCTAACAAAGCGTGAAATGCATGAATTGAGGACTCACGGGGATTCCGTCTGGCAGGAAGCGGTTGAGCGACTGCATGGGGATGATGAAGCAGTCTCTATCGAGGGTGGCCAGACTGATTGGCTCCGTTCGCACGCCATTGTGGGCCACGGTGCCGCAATTATTATTGCTCGAATTCCCAAAAGTCACTGCAATGAAGTGGAACGCATTTAGGTGTCCTTCGCCAAAACAGAAAACTCTCAAGGGAGTTGTGGAAGGAATCTCTCCTTCTCTCCAGAATGAATTCAATTTGCGCATTCCAATTTCTACTAAATCGAATTAGGCGAGAGAGAGAGAGAGAAAGAGAGATTTTGTACCGATGACGCCACATTTTACAGGACTTCCTATAGAGATTTTGGCTGAATTTGATATACAGAAAGAATATAGCGATAGAGTGTGATCGAAGCAAATATATATATGTACAGGTTGTCAGGAAGCAGAGATGCAAGATTAGGTACAAAAGAGTGTGGCCCAAAATCAAAAGAGGCGAAAGTAAAGAAGCGGCAAAAAGAGTCAGGTCAAACCTTGGCGCAGGACGGTGGGCGTGGGCACTTCATAGCGCCTCGTGGAGCCCCACTTGAGCAGCGAGAGCGAAGGGCGTCGATCGACAAGCGGCTGCGGCGCGTCTACTTCGTAAATGGCGGTGGCGAGCGCCGAGGGGGCAGCGCCCGCGAGGGGACCGCACCGTGGCTCTGAAATATGTCACAAGTCACCGGAAGCAATGCGCAGAGATCCTTCCGCTTTTTATCACATGAAACGCTGAGTGTGTGCAAAACGCGCGAAGGTGATTTCAGCGCGCGCAAATTTATGTGTGCAACATCGCGGACACGACAGATATTAATGATCGCGCGCAGATGATAAAATTATCACTTGGCACACGTCCGCGTGTCACTATCGCACGAAATCAACACACACGCTCGCTCTCTCATCAGCGGAGTGCTTTTGACATTGTGCGATAGTGTCGTAGGAGAACGAAGAGGGCTGAAATACCTCTCATTTGCAAACTAAAGAGAGAGAGACGATCGAAATCACTGTCCAGAAACACCAGAAATGGTAGAATTAACATTTAGGGGGAAGTGAGGCAGCATTACCACACGCGACACCATTGTTATTCACGATTATCTCGTGAAAACGCAAGGGTTTGGCTTCTAATTCTTAAGCGAAAGTAAGATCTTAGGGTGTTAGCACACGTGCTTCTTCTCGTATTGAAGTTATCCACACTTATCGATACGAATTGCGTGCAATTTCCTTTTTTTCATACAATTTAAGAGGAAAAGTGGATTGAAATTAGTCCTCAAACTGTTGATTTTAACTAACTCCAAGTGTCGATAACTTCAAGGTGAAAAGAAGCAAGTGGGATAACGCACTTAGAGTGTACTATCAATGGTGTTTCGGTGTGCAATGCTGCCCCATCTCTCCCAATATATGTTTGCTTCACTAATAAAATGTTTACAATGTGCTTCTCACAGACAACTTTCCTCCTGTTTGTGTCCTGGAAGAGACTCTTAGAACGTCAGCACATCCCTTCACATACACAGATATATCAGATTGATAGAGACTTTTGGCAAAAGGAGTGATTTTTGCTGCTGGTTGCAAGCTGAAGCTATAAAATGTCAAAGACAGAGTACAAAAAAGAAACAAAGAGTGGGTGACAAAGAGGTGCACAATTTAAAAGACAGAGACCAAAAAATCCACATATAGAAAGCATTTCAAAATATCTACAGAAAGTGTGTGTCAATCTTCTCAAAAATAAAAAAAAATATTACAATCAATCTTATCACATGGAAACTAAAGAAGAGGAAGAAGAAAAAAACTCATCGTGTGTTGACATTTACAGGCATTTTGTGGCTTTAGCTTACAGCTAGCGCTCAATATCTTGGTCAACCCCAAAAACTAAAATCGCGTGTGTTTAGCACGAAAAGGCACCACACCATCATAATCCATATATATATCGCACTTTTTGCGCATCGCGACGCGCGGGAACAGAGAACAGGGAGACAGAGAGAGTGAGAGAGAGAGTCTTTTTTTGGACGATGTTCCGGAATGTTGATGAATACCTTCTGTGTCAGCCAGAGCTGAGCGCGTTGGTGAGAAAAATAAATGGGTTCGATAGTGAACTTCATCTTGCACTGAACAGCTCAATTCGCGCGATCGCTTCACTTGATTCCTGTTGCCACTCTTGGAGTGCTTCAGGCCGCCCATGCCGGACTTGCCGCCACCGCCGCCGCCCTCGCGGAAGTTCTTCCTGAACATCAGATTCATCGCGGGAGAGAGTGGTAAACGAACTTGTGGTGCTTTCCACGAAGACAGCCAATTGGCAACTGAGCGATCTCCGCAATCAAATATGCTCGCCTCTCCACAACAAATATGAAATATATCGCAATATTCGCTGGTCCAACACACGCGGGCTATTTTGGGCCCATATCGCGCCTTTTTCTCCCGATCGTGCGACATCTTCGCCACGGCTAATATTAGCCCTCCGCCACCGCGCTATTCATAGCCTCTCTGTTTATATTTAACACGATTGGTTTCTGAAGAGCCACTTGAGCATCGACACACCTTGATGGCCGCTGATCGCGCGCTTCAGATTGTCTTCAGTGCGCGGCTAATTTCGTCTCTGATCTTGACTCATTAAATCCACTTCGACGGTGAATTTGTCACTATAATTGATCAAGGTTTGCAAACTCTATTTTAGCGCTCGCTAAAGCACTTTCCGGAAAGTCAATCACATTGTAATCTGTCTTCTTCTTTGACTCATTTCAAGTTCAGCTTAATTTTTTGCTTCTATGACTTCAGTTCCTTGAACTGTATTATTATATTTATACTGATGAATGCATAAACAACAGCACAAATAAATCATTCGAATTTTCAACGATTCAAAGAATCAAACTACTCTCTCTGTCTTGAATAAGATGAAAGTTGTCTTATCAGCTTTGAGAATTGAAAATATATGATTTCAGTGAAATTACAGATAAAGAAATGTCTAGTTCTGCGAGCCAAAATGTTCTCATGATTTATTGTTAGATCAGAAAATCATCTGACCAGGGATTTTCTCTCCTTTCAGATCCGATAGGTAATAAATTTTCCATGCTTTTCTTCTGACTGCCGAAGATAGACTTGAACCCAAAAGCTCTCTCACTCACTCTCTCTCTGTTTCTGTCGTGAATTTCAAATTTGCTTCCTTTGTGAACTGGTCACAAATTGTCGTGAAATAGCGCATGAAAGTGTCTCCAGCCACGAAATGTAAATGAAATGAGCTTTCTCGGTGCTAAAGCAGTGGCATTTGGTCACTTTTTGTCCTCTCATGGACGCGAACAGAGCAAAAAAGAGCAGCAAAGCAGCCTCGAGTATAAATACAGTTTTGCATGTCGCGTAGAGAAATCGATCAAACAGTTAATTTAAATGGGCAAATGATGGAGTCTAGCTGATGGCACGTGTGTGCGTCTCAGGTGCGTCTTTGCGAGATGAGGATGTCTTCACCGCCACGCCAGTGCCTCGGATGCCAGGCATTGAGTGCCTAATTGGGTGACGTCTTAGAGAGCGCGAAATGTGGGTTAAATTTAATTTAATTCGACACAATGGTCCCCAGGGTGGTGAAGGCTATTTAAATGCAAGGGCAGCAAGCGCGGGGCCGATTTTGAGCGGCGGAAAAGGGACACACGGATGTGCATTCGATGGCGCGCGCGATGAATAATTTAGCACGATCGAGCGCAGAGCCTTTTTTTTACCTGCTGGACTGGCCTGAATGGCAGACAGCGGAATGGCCAGGACGTTTGGCGTGAGGTCCGTGTCCGTGTAGGCCGCTGTGGAGCCCTTGGCTGGCGATGGGCTCACGCGACTGCCCCGATTTCCGGCCACAGCCGCACTCATCCTGATGTGTGCTCACTGTCCGCACAGCATCCACCGCCTCCACCCCATCACACACACACACACACACTCTGGCACTCTGGCCGTCAGTCGAGCCTCAGGGACTGCACTCCTGCGGGCAGATGGGTCGCCACCGAGGCAGCACAATCGATGGCTTCAGCACAACTGTCCCATTCGCGCCGAATGCCACTGCAGGAGCATCAACGGCAGTATCACACCGAGGCCACGGGAAGGTGGAGAAATCTCTCGCCAGGCTTCGGCGCCGTGCTGAAATCTTCACAGGCGAAACTTTCACCTCACTTCGCGGCCTAAGGCCATCAGCTTTCTGTGGCATGTCTTCGAGAAGGTGCGCAATACTTGCACTACCAAAGGAGTGGGGAATGTGAGAAACAAAGAGTGAATAGCATGAAAAGTAAGATATGCCAGGAGAAGTAGAGTGAAATGATGAATTATATCCGAGAGGATTCATGTTGGAATCTGAAGAAAGATCAAGGAAAAAAAGGAGGAAGAAGAACACAAAAGCAGTGAAGCGTAAAATTGGATGAAAAAAGCAGTCAAGAGCACAGCAAAGAGGAGAATGCAGAGGAATGTGAGACAGGTTGAAAATTTCCAACATTTCAGGGGAAGTGCGGTGTTGGAGTGGAGTGGAGCCGCGCAGGAGGAGGGATATCCACAAGCAGTGCCGCAAACACTGTGTGGCTCCCGCCTAAAATTAGCAGAAGCGCCGCGTCTCTGCGCATCGCAATGCTTTTCCGCGCGTCGCGTGATTTTCCGCGAAATCGCCCAATTTTTTCCCGCGAACAAAGTGCAGATGTCTCGCGATGAGCTTTCCACTGAAAGCGCGAAAGTTTGTGCAGATCAGCCTTTTTCAAACGTCACTGAGAGGAAAATTTAATTTATGAAGTTTTGCCACACAACACACGCTTTCACTTACTGAGGTTATCAGTAAATGAGATTTTTCTCCATGCGAGAGAATTGCATTAAATTCATTAAACATTTAGAGGCACTTTGTGAATATTTTATTGCACTTTCCCAATTGATGTGAAAATGACTGAATGCAAACTTTTCTAATTGATTTTACATAGAGTTTGCTTCCGCAAATGGGGAGCAACTGTGATGTTCTGGAGCACAGAGTTTTCTATTCAATTAGCCTTGTGAAAGCATCTGGTTTTGCTGACTTTTCAAATTGGAGTCCTGCGAATGCCTCTTGGCGGTGGAAAATGTGTTGTAAACAGAAGTTTTAATCAATATTTCCGCCACTCAGAGTGAAATATCAAAGGGAGTGAATGGAAAATTACACCATCAGTGCCATTATCCTTCCTTCCGACTCAGTGAATGACCACAAAAGCGACGAGATTCCTTAATAACTCTCCATCACTGGACACTTACAGCGATGCTGTGACGGGAAAGGAGGAAGGGATAAAAGTGGAACTGGATATTTTTTCAATGTGCGGAAATTGCTTTTATGTTGTAAAATTTTCACTACTTTACAGAGAGAATTTTAGACAGGAAACTGATTGCACAAAGAATGTGTTTTTCATTGTTAGTGGCATTTTATGAACTCACATTGCAAGAGAAGCTAATTTGAACAATGTCTCAGATTGATTTGCAAAGCTAAAGTAATCAAAAGTACAATATTGTGCATTTTATTAATAAACGCAAGAAGACTTTATGAAAACATTCTACGTCAATTGATGGAAAAACATAATATGTATAAAATCTTTGATTAGAGAAACTCATCGAAGCCTTAGCATGATCGATCTACAATCGAGATCATTTCCATCACGACTTATAAATGCGTTTAACTGCGAATTTCTCGTTACACAAATAACTTTCTTTTGGATTAATTAATTGAATTTAGTTAAAGCTTTATAACTTGCAAAAGTTTTACTTAAATTTACAAAAACGTGCAAATGAGGACTATGAGTGGCATAGGAAGTTACTGAAAATCATTCTCTGATAAAAATTTTTAGCTCATCTGTTCACTTTTATTATTTTTACTTACTTTTTCTTCCTCGAAGTTATAGAGAAACGATGGAAACGTTAGTTTAGTGTATGAATGACGCCGTCATGTGTGGAATATCATCTCTACTGAGCCCAGCAACGCTCTCTCACTCTCCCTCTGGTCATATCTCGTCGGCAGAAAAAAGGGAAAAAAGTGCGGCGTGGGAAAAATTTAAATTCACAATAGGGGTGAAAAACTAGGTCACTTTGCATGATAAACAATGCGCAGTGGATTTTCGGGAAAGGGTACTTCTACTGTTCACACTTACGTAATCATCCAGCAATTCCATGTGAATTTATGGTCACGACATCACAGGGAAATTGCTCCAATTACGACCATCATTTTTGATAAGAATCTCATATTTACAAGCTCTTATCTGCCAAGCGGGAAGCAAAAAAACAAGGAGTCTGCGAAGACGTCACTTGATACTCCGCGAGCGCAAATAAGCACGCATCGGAGTTTGTGATTGGCGACGAAGTAGAAAGAAAAATAACAGAAAATCAACACACACCTTTGATATTTTGGTTTTCTTTTCTTTCATAGAGATTTTATTTGCAAATTTCTTGAGTGATGTGTGAGACAATGAGAAAAAAGTCCTCAAAGAAGATCAACTTGAATTATTTCAAAATTATTACTTGTATTTTCCATTTTACATTGTAACAAAGTTGAATTTAAAACACACAGCTACTTTTTTTTTGTTTAAATTTATAACTCCTATTGTGGTTTAAGTGTTTTTTTTTCTTCTTTTTTGCTCATTTAAATATTATCAGCACAAGTACATTTTTTTGGAGGATCTTTTAGCTTTTCATCTTATTTTGCATTTTTTTCTCTCTCTGGACAAATAGTGGAAGATGACTGATAGTTAAACGATAGTTTTTTGGTTGTCTAACGAGAAATTATTATTGATTTGTTTAAAATAGTATTACAATAAGTAGTATATAAGGGTTTTTCTTGGGTTTTTTTTTCATGTTTTGTAAAAAAAAGAAAGTGATAAACATTAATCATGTTATGTCTTTTTATTTACTAAGATTTCGTGAAATTACTCATATATAATATATTTTCTTTAATTTCCATATTTCACTTGTATTTTCTTCTTCTTCTTCTTCATTTAAGACAAAAAGAAAGCTCATCATCGCGGAAAATGAAGTACTTTTATGAGTTGTCAAGTATTTTCTAGATTGGTTTTTTTTCTCTATTTTCCTTCCATTTCACATTTTTCCGTTTCGATATTAGTAGCTTTTCTCTCATGGGATAATTTCTCCTTAAGTTAAATTTGTATTCATAACGTTTTTTTTTAAAAAGACTTGGGATTTGTTTTTTCTTTGCTTTCTTTTGCACAGGGAAACTTATTTGAATGAATTTTTTTGCAAAAGGAAAAGGAATACACACAAGTATAGATAAAATTTTTTCTCTCCATCTTCTTTACGCTAAAATTGTTTTTTTTTTACTTCTTTCGTTAATCATGTCAAATAATTTTTTCAATAGTTTTTTGTGTTTTTTTTCTCCTTTAATGCATTATACTTCTTATATTTATTTATATGTTTTATTACACAGACAAAAATCAAGAAGTACACATAATAGATTTTTTTTTCATTTTCATCTAGGTACACTTATTTTTTTTTTATCTTGCATTCTAGTATTTTATATCTTGTTAATTTTTTTTTATATTTAATTCATGTGGTAGTCAAGAGGTAAAATGCTGTAGTTTTTTCATCATCATCATCTTCATCCTTTTCAATAAATCTCTATATAATTTTCATTGTGTTTTTTCGCTCAAATTTTTTTCTTTTCTCTTCTCTCGTCCACAAAAAGTTTAACGCCAGTGTTGTTGCTGCTTTTGAAGTATATATTTCTTTAATTGTCTCTTTTAGCTCTTTTTTCGCGTGATTGGGAAAGAAAAAAAGACTAAGAAAGCTCACCAATTGAATTTGACTAAAATCACATACCTTAAGATACATTTAAAAGTAGTTTTTTATCTCTCGTCCTTCTTGTCTTTCCGCATTATTTAAAAAAGAAAAAAAAGTCAACTCGCATTCAAGGTTTGTGAGGTTATTTCATCATTATATCCTTTGTTTTATGTTCACATATGAAAATTTATCATAATTTACAAATTACAATAAATAAGGTGGATTGTTTTCTTTTCTTCTTTTTTTTCATCAATATATTTTATAATCCTACCAAGTAAAGTATGCATTTTTATTTATTCATCGTGTATATAAAGATTTTCTCCCTTCACTTCTGCGCCGTCATTCCTCTCATGCGCGCTTTCTTTCGTTAATTCTCTCTCTCTTGCTTTCCCACGTTTACAGCACACACACAGTTGAAGGATATTCAAAAGGTGAGTTTTGAAGAGTTTTTTTTATACCTTAAAAAGACGCCAAGATCAAACTTTGCTTATTTCTTCATTGTTCCGTGTCTTATAATATTTGTTATCTGGGTTTGTTTTACTGTCAATATATATCGAATTATGTTTCCTTTTCTTTAAAAGTTATATTCTCTGCAACTGATGTGCATTTTTTTATTCACTATTTCATCAAATATCCGAGGGAAGTTTTTTTTATTTTGGGTTTTTAGAACTATTTCAAATCGCAAGTTTTCTCTTTCTGCTTTCATCGCAAAATTGTAATCTTTTTCTTCTCTTTCTGCCTCGCTCTCTCTCGTCCGTTTGTATATATATGCTATTTTTGCTCATTTCTTCCCATCCTTTTTATCTGTCTCCATTCCATGTCCTCTTAATATTTAACAACATACATCGGCGTCGAATAACAGCACAATGAAATATTTTACAAAAATTTACACAAATAGATTAGGGATAGTGATTAAATTTAATTAGTTTATCTTATTTGTGTTCTGTTACAAGAATTTAAATTACTTCTTATTTAGATTTTTATTCATATTTTTTTTTACTTCATTTTCACTACAATTCATTATAATTTTTTACTCATGTTTTTCTTTTCCTTCATCAATTTAATCTCAATTTTTTTCTTTTTAAATATTTCCGTCTTCATCTTCTTCTTCATCTGCTGTGAATCAATTTTTTTCCTCTTGTAAGATTTTTTGGGTGTTGTTTTTTTTCTTCAGTTTGTAATTTCCTCTCATAATATATATCCATTCAATAAATTATCCCATAGCAAGGACACCGCATGATGGAATTGCGATTTGGCTACAGTCTTTAACAAATACAAAGGCGAACAAATACCTGCAGCAGCTCACTTTGATGTCATCATGGTGACGAATTCTGCAAAAAGGAGAAGAAATATTCTCATCAGCAAAATGTCATTAAGAAAACAGCATTAGAGACTTCTCTCTCCCTCACCTTCATAATTGACCTGCCCGTCGCCATCGATGTCAGCCTCTCGGATCATCTCATCCACCTCTTCGTCTGTTAACTTTTCACCCAGATTTGTCATCACATGGCGCAATTCAGCCGCCGAAATGAATCCATTGCCGTCCTTGTCGAACACCCGAAACGCTTCTCGGATCTCCTCTTCGCTGTCCGTGTCTTTCATTTTGCGTGCCATCATCGTTAAAAACTCGGGAAAGTCAATTGTGCCATTACCTGCACGCGGAGAAGAAAAGAGCAAAGCCATTAGTGGTGAAAATGTAATTTTTCTCCTTGCATTCACGTCAAAACAATCAGACTAAAAAAAGAAAATTCCCTCCTCATGTGATATTTGCTGTCCCATCAACAGATGTCATTTTTTCACAAGATCCACATTTGACCTTAATTTACCGAAAGAAGAAGAAGTACGGCGTGTAATAAATGCCAAATCGCATGTTTAGGATGTATTTTGTAATCTCTCTAGGTTAAGCATATTACAATTTGCTTATCACAGCAAATTGCAAATTCTCCATTTCTGGAAGATAAAGACCTTTTCATACTTAATTTCTTCATTCAGCTTCAAATTTCATTGACTAAACACAACTTTAGAGCACGCTTCAAGCTCTTATTTTCACAGGTTATGCATATGAATTCGGTATAGACGATAGTGCATTTGTGAATTTACGTCAGGAAAAGCGTCAAATGACGTGCTTAAGGTCGCGTCTTCATGTTATTTCATTTATATAGTTGTGATATCACGTGCATAAATTCACAATTAAATATTAAAAATGTTTAGTCTCAACACAATCTGCCAAGGAAGTCTTTTTTGTCTTTTCAAGTTCAGGAATTCAAGCCTTCTCCTTTCAATATCTTTTTGACTTAAAACTCTTTATAATTTGACTGACTTCAAAGGCCATCCGGTTTATTGCATAACGCAGGCAAAGTGTTAGAAAATCTCAAGACAATACACCTGAAAATATGATATCTACAATAACTCCACTTCATTGATTACCAACCCCACCAATCAATCCACCTTCAATTACACAATCACTCTGATGAGATAATAGAAAGTATTGAGTGATATATTTCACGCGGTGACACAGTGAAGAGGAAGAGGAGGAAAAATTCCCTCAATTGCAACTTTATGGACATGAAATATCACCATTATTGTTGTTATGTTGGCATTTTAACTAGATTTCAATCAAAATTTTCGCATTTATCAATTTTTTACAAAAAAAAAAAAACAGAAAAAATGTGAATGAGAAGGTAAAAGTGCAGAAAATATGTCACAAAAATAGATTCTTCTTCAAAGGCAAATTTTTCTCTTTCTCTCACTCTTCTTTTTGTGTTCTATGTGAAAAACAATTCTCATAAATACTAAATAATCTGTCATATCAGGACATAGTGTGGAAAAATGCGATAAATTTCTTTTCATCCTATATTTAGGGAACGCGCAACACAACAAAGAGCGAGTGAGAGACAATTTCACATTAAATGTTTGATCGATAGAAATGATATAAGTAATAAAAAAAATATGCTGATAAATATTTCACAGACAAAAGTGTAGATATACCTTTTCTCCCCCTCTCCCCCCGCCCGCCCGTCATTTTCATCATACACACAACAAGCACAGTGAGTGAGAGCAGAAGAGATACAACTTTAGTAGTTTAATAGGACAGTCACAACACACCATTTTGTCACCATTTTTTTTTCAATTACAATCAAATATTTATGGCCACACACAAGTCACAAATTAATTGGTAAATTACATGATTCGATATGTGTGCCTCATATTGATTTTCTTCTCTCTTCATTCATTTCATAATAAAATAGTGAGAATTGTAGTGAGAATATTCAATATCGTGTCTCTCTCACTTCTCTTGACATTCGAGAATCATTTAGAATATTTTCTTCAATCTATTGCTCGTGAATGCAAATGTAAAATTTAACCCAATAGAGTCCATACTTCAATTATAATATCTCACACACTCGCTGCTGCTCTCCTGAATTGGCCTCTGTGTGTAATAAATATCCACTCCAACTCACAGCTATTAAAATAATCTGAGATGGGGAAGTGATATTATATAAGAGAGAAGGCACTAAGTGAAAATAATCTTATCGCAATAAAGTGATATTGAGAGTGAATTGAGAGCCGAAGCATTCCTCTGAGTCAGAATTGTCACTCTATCGACACTTCACACTCAGTGAATTATTGTTAAGGTGAGTTGATTGTTCTCTGAGACTTGCAAACACACAAGAAAAATCGATTTTTCGCTCTTTTAACGTAATACACTTAAAAAATAAAATAGAAAATACAAGGGACAAAGAACAGAATACAGTGACAAAACCGTGTGAATGTTATAAATATTTCACACCTTTATAATGATTGACTATCGCTCTTTCTCTTCCCTTCACATTCAGCAATTTATCCATTATTCAACCCTTTGACACACATTTACATCTATATTTTCCCCCCTGTCACAATATCCGCAGGACACAATAATTTTCCCACACTTTTGTGACGATTTCCAAGAATTAAAAAAAAATCAAATTTCCATGGAAATTCATCAGCAAGTGTCTCCCTTCTCCCCCTTTTTTTCTCCTGCTGCGCCTTTGATCATATCGACATCAGTCACAATCCAACTATATAAACAACAAAAGTGAGAACATGTTTCTCTCATCTGACATTGTTACATTTTCCACGGAGATAATTTATCGCATTTTCACGCATTTATCGCGCGCCTCTTCAATCACACAAAAACATACATAGAGAACAACTTTTTTCTCCCCCTTACCATCGGCATCCACTTCGTTTATCATGTCCTGCAATTCAGCTTCTGTTGGATTTTGTCCTAGCGAACGCATCACAGTTCCCAATTCTTTCGTGGTGATCGTGCCATCGCCGTCTTTGTCAAACAGGGAGAAAGCCTCTTTGAATTCGGCAATTTGTTCTTCCGTTAATTGGTCAGCCTAGAAATGAGAAAGAAACTTAGAGAAAAAAAAAAGCACAGAATCTTCGAGAATTCATATTAAATCATGAAAGTATGGAATCAATGTAAATTTCCCCTGCATGTAAAATGTAATAAATGAAAATATCGATTCACTTATTTCTGTGTGCTTGCCTGCCGTCAAATTCATCGCACACACACACACACGCGCAATATTTACAATAATCATCATCACACAAGCGTACACATATTACAAAAAAAATGATATCATTTTCCTTCCTATGAATTTAAGTCTTGGAAGATTATGTGAATCACACACATTTTTACTGGACAACGAAACTTTATGGAAAGCAGTTTCCAGAGATGGAAACAGAAGACTCATCAACACATCTGAATATATTCACTTCCCCGGAATGGAAGCAAGTTGTTGGCTGAGCAATTAAGAAGAATGTGAAAAAAGCATCAGCACCAGGCGAAACGATAGTCGGAAGTGAGCATAGAACGAGCTGTGAATATCATAGTTCTGATATAATAAGATGTAGTTTTTTTTCCTTCGTCTCTTCTCATGTTAAAACATGATCATGAGAAAGTATTGTGAGTCATTTTTGTGGAATTTTTACTTTGTACCCTCAAAATCTCACTAAATTCTCTTCTCTCATTCTGTCTCTCTCTCTCTTTCTCTCTCAGCATATCTCAAACATCAAATCGATTTTCACTCTACACGGCAATTTTATCCACCCAAAGAGAGCATGAAAAGCGACACAGAGAGCGAGAGAGTTAGAGAGACGAGACAAGTCCGCATAGAAGAAAAGTGTAAAGTTAAGGCGAACACACTGAGGGTTGGCAATAGTCAGAGAGAGAGAGAGAGACAGAGAGAGATAGTGTGAGAGAGTGTAGTTAAAGGGAGCAATTACTGGTGTTTATGTAGCAGCAATATAGACAACTCTATCCCTGCACAACCCTGTAATTCCATTTGATTTTCACTTTGCACCCTCACCCATTAATCTTTGGAATACACTCTGCACACACTCTCTCTCTCTTTCTCTCTTCTCTCTCTCGCCACACACACATTTTCCACCCATTTTTCCAACATGCCTCGGCCTTTCCTTCCCTCAAAATGGCCTTTCATACTTCCCACCAGCCGAAGGACACTGCGAAAAAGTAACCCCCACACCCCCTCGTCTCTTCGCACACACAACACACCAATCTTTCTCCACCATCGCCTCTTAAGCCATGTCGAAGGCAAATTAAAGAGGGCCCAGCAGAAGGTGGGTGTTCCTCTTCTATATGCTGATTTCTGAGGTCTCTCGCTCGTTCTCTCTCTCCCTCTCTCTCTCCGTGGATTCAAACACACACCATATTGTGCCTGGGAGCTCCGCAACTCTCGCTGGCTTTGAAACATAGCACAAAACACGATATGGCGGCGGGTGACAAAAGTCCGCAATGCGGCAAGACGAAAGCATTGACGACAGGTGACGAAGAAAATAACACAAAAATGCCCAATTACAACACATCACACATCTTTCCCATCACAGACCATCTCTACTCCGGATCCGGGATCACCCCAGGCGCGCCCCCATCAATACACACACACGCACACACACACCCATGCACACACCCACATTCACACACGCGGAGTTTCCGCCAGCCACAGCGCCCCGTCATCATAACCCCGAAAAGGAAAATCGATCGTGTGGTTGAGAAATTTGTGTGTCTACTTTGAAAAAGAACAAAAAAAACGACTCCTCCAACGCCCCCAATTTTATAGTTTGTCCCTCGAAGATATTACATTGACTGCAATGTGTAATGATATGTGGAATGATTTTGGATAGGAAGAATGTGAGGGAAATAATCTTTACCATTTCTTGTTCTTAATATATATTAGAGGTGTGTCCGGGATTTAAATCTAACTCAGAAGCGGCGTGTCACACACACAAGATTCTTCTAGATTTGCTCTGCGCTTTTGTGGGTGGTTGATCCTGTGTCGCAGGAAGTCTTCTCTCACAAAAGTCTTTTTGCCTTCTGTCTCTTCGCAGCGTCGGACTTATATATGTATGGTATATAAAAGTGTTTTCACTACAATTTTTTTTTTACTTCTTTTTGTTAAGAAAGTTCACAACTTTTTTCTTTCCTCTTTTATCAGGACTATATATTTTTCTTCCTATCTTCCGTTAGGGATATTTTCTCCGCGCGCGCACAGTAAAAACTTCTCTCCCCTGTGAGCTTCAAATTGGAATTCAAGTAAAATAATCGCTTCTCGACTCTTTTTATCTTGGGTTTTTCTCTCGCACTCCTCGCCAGTAAGGGAAGGTCAACCAAACACACTGACTAGTCACTTGCAACTGACTCTCAGTCTTCACGAACGCAAAACCCCTATAATATTCTCTCTCGCATTGTCTCTCTTTTCCTCTTGCATCTCATTCACACACTCACACACGCGCGCGCGCGCGTACACACAGTCGCGAAATAATGCCACACGGCGCACGCTCGCTTCATACAATTCAAATGGAATATTAGAGGAATTTTTATAGTAGAGAGCGCCGCTTTGCGCCGTTTAGCGGTATTATCACAAGACAACAGGGCCACTCACCGCATCATCACAGTCAGCCCCATTTGCCGTACTGCGCCCCAAACCCCCGCCACGAGAGCGCACACGGACTCCGGAGTATCCTTAACCCATCCTCGGCAGCAAGGCCGATCAACAGCAGCATTACGACGGGAGCAACAGCGCATTATGCCTGGGACTTGCGTGCGCGAGAGAAAGAGAGAGAGCCAAGGCGAGGCCATAGCTCTCTTGTTCACACTTTGACATCGTCCAATTCCAACATCTGCAGTTCCAGCTTTTTGCAAGCGCTAAAGCACTTGGACATTTTCCAAAAAAAAACTCAATTTCCGCCACTCTCAATTTAGTGAGATACATTCATAATGGGTGGAGCTTAGCAATAGGCGGGACTTAAGAGAGTTAGTCACAATATGCATTGGAAATGAGCTTATCCTGACCAATATTTCTCGGATGTTTTCATTCAGTACAACTTTCAGTACAAATCTGTTTTAATTCTGAGTAAGAAAACTGAGCATTTTTTGAGCTAGTCATTAGTCATCATTCTTACATAGAAAATTTAATTTTGTTTTCGTGCTTCTGATAATTCTCCTAAGATAATTCAGTATCGGGGATTTTTTTTTCTTTTGCTAAGCACTCAATTTTTTTATGACGATATTTAACCCAGTTGAGTGGTATTATTTTGAACGAATAATTGCCATAATTTCGTTGTAGGAAATTCCATAGATGAATAGAAACAATTTTGCTAGTTCACAATACAAAAATCGTCTAATAATTACAACAATCCGATTAAATCATAGCAAATCTGCTTTTTAAACCCCGGAAAACTCGACAAATTCTTCCCAATTGTCTTGGGATTCAAAATTTGGCCAGCAAAGGGCTCCGAATGGCGTGCAATAAGGCTTCTGCCTAAGTCCACCGCCTGGCGAGAGTTGGGTATAAGACAAGAAATGCAGCATGAGCGTATGGCCCTGGGTATGGATCCCCAACGAAGAAAGAGAGACTCCGCGCAGCTGTCGCAGTGCACATTTTTCGCTCAAGCGCCAATATCCGATTACGACTGATGAACATGGCGGACGGTGTTTGCCTTTTTGCATAGCCCATTGCGAAAGAGTGCAGACAAATCGACTCACCATCTTTCTGCCCACTTCCAGACACTTCCTCTCGCCGCTCTACGTCGCTGTGCAGAGCCTAGACGTTGGGGGATGGGCGGGGGGTGGCGCGCTTTGCTGGAAACCGGCGTGGCGCTCTCTCTCTCTCACTCTCGCTCTCTCGCGGACTGCCGATGTGTTGGTGGCGGACGCGAGCGTGTGTGCGCCTGTAGTTCTCTGGGTGCGGTTTGCGATAGAGATTGTTGGCAGCGCCTGTGTTCTGATTGGCTCTCGTCTACCTGCAATGCGTCAATTTTCACTTTTAAACTCAGAAACCGCTTCAACGGTCACAAGCACCGAACGGGAGCTATTTGGGGCTTTTCCGCTCCCGGCCTCGCGATGATTTACCACCGCGCTGGCAAAATAAACTCGTTTGGGGCAGAGAGACGCTCACGTGGATGTCTGCATGCAGCAGAAAAATATTTATTCACAGCACCATTTGGCACTTTTCCACGCTATCTTATCACATGAGCGCGTTGCGGACCTTTCGAGGCCACGCCGCATGCCGCCCCCTGCGTGTCGCCCTAATTTCCTCGGGAAAATCCCCTTGCGTGGCTACATCGCGGCCCCAAGTGTCAAAAGCCACGGAGCTGGATTGATTGGGAAAATCCCCGCCCGGACGCACGCCGCCGAGGCACAAATTGCCATCTCGCGCGCGCCTCTGAAACCCCATCTCGCAAGGCGCCTAATTGGATTTGCCAGCGACATGGTGAGATGTGAAAACCACCTGCAGTCCTTCTATCGGATTACCCAGTCTGGGAGGGTGTGGAAAATTGCGATAACAAGTGGAGGAAATCCAGAGAAAAGTCAGAGTGGGTTTGGGGAGAAAAAAAAAATGACCCGTCATGCCTCTCTGCGCAATGCAGATCAATTGAACAGTATTACGATTGAACCATAAAGATATTACCGTTTATGAGTGTGTCAGCATATTCCTGCAGAGTCACACGCGATGCTCGATGATCTATTTGCCTGATTTTCTCTCTTTTTCTACGCTTTTCGCCCCGCAAAATGCCTTCGCAAAATTCTTAGCACGACGCTCTCGAAAATGACAGATTCACAGTGCGCGCGCGCGCCATCTGCGTTCGGGTACTTCGGCTCGCATGCCAGTCATCGTCGCGCGGTGGATTTTCGCGTCAAGCGATCACAAGTGTAAACAAAACCAATTGCAATCACGGAAAATCTCGTGGAAAAGCCCCCTAAAATGCTCCCCAAGTGCACACAGTGCGACAGAACTACGTCTGTGATGTGGTGGAATGTCGCGAATGGGGAAATCTGCAATGAGTGCAACGAGACGAAGAAGAATGGCGATGGCGATGATTGTTCAGAGGAGAAGAGCATTCGCAAGAGCACGAGAATCACCAGGATGAGGATTAAGTACAATGCGGGCATTGTCAGGGGCATTCCCAAGGGCAAATCGAGGCGAAATATTTTCAAGAAGGCCCCACCGACCAAAACACCCACTGTCACGGCCACGACCACCACCATGGAGAGTCTCTTCTTCGGCCAGACTTACTTTCAGGTCGGAGACATCGTCTCCCTGGTGGACAAGGAGCAGAACCTGTACTACGCACAAATCCGTGGACTTTTGCAGGGTGAGACAAGTGTTATTTGCGTGCGCGGGGAAGAGACACTAAACGGTTTGTTCATTTGCAGACAGTTTCTGCGAGAAATCCGCCGTGATTACTTGGCTCATCCCGACAACAGACAGCCCGCCGCCGAACGTGGAATTCGACCCGGCCACCTACTTGATCGGCCCCGATGAGGACTTCCCGCGGAGGCTCTCCACCATGAAATTCGTCATGCACGCACCCAACGACTATTACAAGCAGAGCTGCCCTTATCCGAAGCCTTATGCGCTCGATGGTCAGGATATCGATACAAAATCGTATATTTGGTCGAGACTCTAGACAGCCTCTCAAGCTTTTTCATACACAAACGGGCATTCCAAAAGGACGAGTACATATAGAATTTTGTACTTATTGCATAAGTAGATCACAGTCGATAATCTCACGCCTCGAGATTGTTGTAAGGCACGCGCGGAAGACCTTTGTGCAGCACATAGGCGACCATCATGGTCAGGAAGCAGAGGAAGACGCCACCAGTGCTCACGGCGTTGAAGGCTGACGGGAATGTGTCGATGGTGCTGGTGTAGATGATAGTGTAAAGAGGCGCCGAGCCGATTGGCGACACGGATTCCAGCGCTGTGACCAGCGAAAACACCTTCCCAATCTCACTGGCCGGCGTCACGTTGGAGATCACCGCTCTGCCCATCGGCCCCGAGATGCTCTTCAGCACACCCACAGCGACGCCAAAGTACAAATCCGCCGGCGTGACGGCCAGCGTGCGCGCTAAATTCTGCAGACAATCACTGGCAAACGCCACGGCGGCTATCATGGCATCGGACATCCGGAAGATCTTCTTGAGCAGCGCAATGGCGCACAGGGCACCCACGAGCTGCACCACAATGCTGACGGACTCATAAATGGTGTAATCACGAATTGTCCAGCCAAACTTGGCGCGCGTGAAGAGGAAGAAGACCGTCGCGGTGCCTTCCATGATCGCCAGCGAGAGCACGAGGCCGAAGATGGCCAGCCAAATGATGGCTCGCCTGTTGTCTGGGCGAGGCTTGAAGGACGTCACGAGCATATCACGGACATGGTCGAAGCGGAAGAGTTCGCGGAATTTTGACTGGAAAGACAAGAAATGGAATGCTTTTTAGTTACAGGAAGAAAAAAGTGTTGAGAAGGTGAAATTCATTTGATTCACTATTTTAAATAATAAATTCTGTCGTTTTGGATTAATCAATAGTGAACCTAAGTTTGTCTTGAGGGCATTTTCTAGCTTATCTGCATGTTTTTCATGTGGTCTATTATAAAATGCGTACAAAATAACGTGCATACGAGACGAGTGAGCTTTAATACGATATGAATAGTTTATCATTTTATGCTTCAGCTCTGATAAATATGAGTGACGGAAAGGGACGTTTGAAATTTTAATGTACTATTGAATTGCGGGGAAAACTGAATTTAATTATTCACTCCACTCCTTTCAATAATAAATCCAAAACGCTCAATTTATCGCACGATAGTCATTGGGAACACCATCAGCTGACCAAACGCACACTTAAGACACAAAACGCCTCGTCATATAAAATGTTATTCCCCGCATCGTTTCAATCTTGGCTCAGAAGGTGATAAATTTTGAGTATTTCTCCCACCCTTTGACTGTGACTCAACGATTCTTTTGCTCACCCCCTGGAAATCGGGACAGAAGACTGTCTCGGCGACGCACAGCCGGATGTGGAGCAGGCCCAGGAGGCAGGAGAGCGCCGACACGGCGAAGACGGTGGCGGCGCTGGTCCACTGCAGGATGTAACTGCTGCTGATGGAACCGACAAACAGCCCGGCGTACAGCACGCCTTCCATCACGCCCATGCGGATGGCGCGATTCTTCTCCGTCGTCACGTCCGTGAGGTTGCAGAAGACGCCCGTGATGAGGGCACAAGTGCCGCCGGAGAACATCACGGGCGCGTACGCGAGGATGTAGAGCCAGGGATTGAGAGGAGCGCTCGCGGAGGCGAAGGCAATGCCCGCCAGCAGGAGGTACACGCAGCAGTAGCCTGGAAAGACAATATTCACGCCTCACTCTTGGCCCTGCTCAGGATCTGTGATTTGTGTGCCCAATCAATACCCGGAAAGTTGCGGTTTAGGCTGACTTGAATATTTAATCATGCTTTGGTGCGGTTTTGTCAGCACAACTTCGGCAGGAATTCCTCCACTTTAGCACTTGTGGTCGTATCAGAAAAGTTTGCCAAAGTATATATTGTAGTCTCTCGAAATTCTCTATTGATTATCACATTACAATGTTGGCTAAGTATTGAGGGAATTTAGCTAAATTGCTAAGCTTATATTAAAGCAATATCTTGCGATTTATCGCATGTTGTAATTATTGCTGTTTTTTTTATCTGGCCATAAGTGGAGAATTGAGAATGCACGAATTGTCTAGAAGTAATTCTCAAGTATGTCCAGATAAAATTTGCTCTTGAGATTCTAGAGACTAAATAGAGTTATTGGAATTTGAGGCAATTGACTTTTTTCTAATGCATAATTCATTGTTGCGTAGTAGTTTCATGCGATTTTATCAATGTTCAAACGGAATTATTCTGGGTAATTTTAATATTCTCAGTAACAGTCAACAATTTCGCCACTAGTTTTGACGAAAACAAGTATTTTTTGTGCTCAATAGAGAGTGTTTCTTCAAGAATTGTAATTATTTGCAAGCTATTCAGCACTTCTTCTGCCGCACACTGTGCAATTCCTCATCGACCTTATAAGACTTCCTCCCATTGTGGACACTTTCCCGCTCACCTGAATAGCACGCATACAGCAGTGGCTTGCGGCCGAACTTGTCTGACCAGGGGCCCAGGAAGAAGCTGCAGATGGCCGGGAAGATCTGCTCGATCAGCGAGCGCACCAGGATGATCTTGGCTGTGTAAGGTTGCACTTGTTGCTCCAGATTCTGGATGTACTCGCTCTCGTTGGCCGTGCCCAGCTGCTGACAGTCGCTCGCGTTGAAGCCCAGCAACTCTGTGCAGGTCTGTTGCACTACCAGATTCGTGAACACGGGTCCGGCCAGACTCCAGCCGAAGAAAATGAGGAAAACCGCCGGTTCGACGGTGAATAGGGGAGTTTTGCGCTCGTTCTGCTGCTGCGCCAGTGAGTCTGGCTGCTCTTCAAGGTCTTCAGCAAGTAGATTTGTTGTGGAAAATGTGGGATCGTCACTCTCCTGACCATTTTCTTCACTCCGATACTCCATTGGGCTTCTGGAGAAGATGCACCAAAAATACGTAAGTAAATAAAACGAAACCACTGATTTCACTGTAGTTTTGATCTTACGTAATTCTTTAATTAATTTGACGAATCAAAATCTCTCTTCTTGACGTGATGTTGGAGATGGAACAAAGAACTTTTTATTGCGAATTGGTGGGAAGCGTGAGAGAAGTGATAAGGAAGCAGAGAAAAAGTAAATCTCAAGGTAACTTCATCGCGACTGGAAATCACACTGAACACTGACTGGCAGAATGTGGTGGGTTCTTCACTGGGTAATGGGGTGCTTATCTGGCGATTTCAAGGGGAAGAACTCACGAGAGTTTTTGTCTTATCACGAAATTAAAAGCATTTTGTGGCCAGGTGATAAAGTTGTTTTGGCGAACTAAAACAGCTGATTCATTGGGACACGCGTGTTTCCCCTCCTTTTCTGCCATGCCAGTATTGTGATGGTGGCATAAATAAACCGTCAAAAATCATTCATCTCACAAAACCGGCAAATTAGTTTGTTTGAGAATTTCTCAATGGAAATTTATTATATTTTCCACCAGTCAAAATGAGTGTGATTCTATTAGCACTTCTACTTGAGAGGAAGATACGACGCAGGCGAGAGACGAGGCACGTACACCAAAAACGTACAAATCGTGAGGAAAAATCGACATGACAATATGGATAAGTTTGTTGTGATAATGAATGTTGCATTACAGATTTGTGATGCAGATCTGCGAATATTGAACCTAAATGCCAGTTCTGGAGGATCTGAGAGGGACAATCTGATATTCTATGCTTCTGATGTCAACAGTGCATTGCGCGAAAAATATGCCGAGGGAGAGAGAAACAATTGGCTCCTTGCAAGCGATGCTTATCATCATTTTCCCTGGCTCATGACGCCTGTGACAAATCCCCAAAGCGTGCCGGAAAATTCTTACAACAGAGCTCACAGGAAGTGCCAATTGGACGCTGTGAAGTGCATTGGTGTCGTGAAGAGTCGCTTCCGATGCCTGAGCAGACAGAGAAGCAAGCAAAAGACACTGATGTACTCTCCGGAGGCAACAGGGAAGCTCATTAAAGCCTGCTGTGTGCTTCACAATGTCATGATCCAGCACGATTATGTGCTGCCGAGTGAGGAGGAAGTCACGGAGGAGCTCGAGAGCCTGCCAGAGAGAACGGAAAATAATGCGCGAGCCATAAAAGTCGAGGAGAGTGACGAGGACGCTGAAGAAAGGACACTTGTTCAAGCAGGAAGGAGTATAAGAAGCCAGATAATAGTGACAAATTTCTAGGTAAACCCACAAAACATGCTAATTTAGGATCATCAAACTCCTTTTTATTGAAAAAATATGAAAGTACGAAAATTTATATATAATTCTGAACATTCTGAATAATTATTTTGTCGTTCAATGAATTATGGAATTCTATTTGAAATTTTACTTGGCCTTTCTTGGCCTCAAAGTCATCTTTTGTGGCTCAATAACCTCTTCAGACTTAATCTTTTCCTCCTCATCCTTCTTCTTGTTCTTTTGCTTCGCTACTGTTGAATCAATCGCCTCCTTCACCTTTCGCGGCCTTCCGCGGGACTTCACCTTTGGCTCCTCAATCTCCACAGTGCTGTCCACTTTCGGTGATGTTTTGTCTTCAGTTTCTTCTTCCTCTCCAGCTGTTTTCTTGGCTCTTCCACGTCTTGGAGAAGCTTTAGCAGTCTCTTCATTCTCCAGAACCTTCAGTGTGACCTTTTTGGTGCGCTTCGGACGATCTGGTGTCTCTGTTGTCTCCTCACTGACACGATCTTCAGCTGGCTTTTTAGCTAGACGTCTTCGCCTTGACGATGGCTTCACCACTGCCTCTGGGCTTTCCTCAAGTCTCACCAGTTCCACTGTCGCTTTCCTCAGTCGCTTGGCAAGAGCAGCACTTTCTGCAGTCTGATCTTCAACGTCGGGAAGTTTCTTAGCTGGCCTTCCACGTCTTGGAGAAGCTTTAACGCTCTCCTCATTCTCCAGAAGCTTCACAGTTGCTTTCTTCGCACGCTTTGGGCGATCTGGTGTCTCAGTTTCCTTCATTTCCTCATCGTCTCTTCCAGGGCTTTGAATTTCCTCTTGCACAGGCTTTTTAGCTGGCCTTCCACGTCTTGGAGAAGCTTTAACGCTCTCCTCATTCTCCAGAAGCTTCACAGTTGCTTTCTTCGCACGCTTTGGGCGATCTGGTGTCTCAGTTTCCTTCATTTCCTCATCGTCTCTTCCAGGGCTTTGAATTTCCTCTTGCACAGGCTTTTTAGCTGGCCTTCCACGTCTTGGAGAAGCTTTAACGCTCTCCTCATTCTCCAGAAGCTTCACAGTTGCTTTCTTCGCACGCTTTGGGCGATCTGGTGTCTCAGTTTCCTTCATTTCCTCATCGTCTCTTCCAGGGCTTTGAATTTCCTCTTGCACAGGCTTTTTAGCTGGCCTTCCACGTCTTGGAGAAGCTTTAACGCTCTCCTCATTCTCCAAAAGCTTCACAGTTGATTTCTTCGCACGCTTGGGACGATCTGGACTGTCTGGAGCAGCAGTTTGACTCGCCTTCGCAGCTGTCTTCGCCACCTTACGCGCTCCGCGTTTCTTCGTCTCCACAGTTGGAGATGATGGGACTGCAAATTGCACAATCTTCCCCACCATTCGTCCTCCACGTGACTTCTCAGACGTCGTGGATTCTGCTCTCTCCACAGATCCTGTCACTTTCAGGCTCTTCTCCGAATAATTCACATCTTTCTTCCTGTTTCGTAGAACTCTCCTCAACATGCTATCATCTGACGGAGTGTTGTTCTCCTCTTGAGCCTTCCTCCGCCGGGGATTCATCGGTGTGCTCGTGACACCTTCGCCCAAATCCAGAGACAAATCAATCACTGAGAGTGCCATGCTCTGGACGATTGCCTGTTTTCGCAGAGAAATCTCACGAACGCCACCAACATCTTCAGTGTCCTGATTAAAGTACACAGAATGTTACTATAAAAAAATCTCTAGAGGACATAAAAAGAAACTCACCTCAACAACACTCTCATTGGGAGTCACATTGCTGTATTTGTCCGAGAGAACCTGTAGAGTATTGTTGGCGCGTCGAGGAGTTGTTGCTTCCGTTGTTGTGGTGGAGACAATCGAATCGATCCACTCTTGAATCCCCTGCCGATCAATATCCACCTCCGGCGGTGACTTCTTCTGCTTCTTCGGACTCTCCTTCCGTGAATATGTGTGCTTAACCGATGGCATCGAAGTGCGTCCCTTCAGGGAGTCAAACAAGTCATCCATGCTGGCATCGAGCTCAATTACCTTCACCTCACTCGATGACGATGAAGAGGGCTTCGGTGGCGTTTCGCTGTCCTTCTGGACAGCAACTTCCTCCTCTGGAATGCTGTACAGTGCGCCCAAGTCTGTTAAGTCGTGGGAAAGATCATCGGTATTCACTGGTTCCTTGAGAAGTTCCCTAACTCCAGTCATTTGGTAGGACATATCATGTGACGTTGAGGGTTTCATCAAGTCCCGGACACCAGCATAGTTGATTGATACATCATCTTTAGGACCTTCCTTCAGCAACTCCTTCACACCAACCAGATTCACAGACATCTCAGCATCTGGAGACTCTCGCAGAAGATCCTTCACACCTCTCAAGTTGATGGAAAGATCAATTTCTGATTCCTTCATCAATTCTCTCACACCTCGCAAGTCCACTGAAGCCTCTTGTGCATCTGGACTTTTCATCAGCTCACGAATTCCAGCAAATCTTATTGAAGTCTCTTCTGGCTTCTCTCTCAACACATCTTTAACACCTCTGAGATCCACAGAATCATCCTGATTGGGCGGTGTCTTCATCAATTCCTTCACACCAACGACATTCTCCAACTTGTTGCTGTCTTTCGGTGTCTTCAGGAGATTCTTCACACCCGGAAACACCTCCAGAACATCTCGTTTCTCCTTGCCAGGCGTTCTGAACAACTTTCGCACACCCACAACATTTGTCAAGTCATTCACCGGTGATTTCACCACATTGAAGATCTCCTTCACGCCACCAACACGTCTCAGATCATCAGAATTCTCCTTCGGTGTCTTCAGCAGCTCTCGCACACCCTTCAGATTCGGCGTCTTCGGCTGCATCGCGAAGAGCAGCTTCTTCCTGGTCACATTATTGCTCAAGTTATCCAGAGGACTGCGTCGCACCTTCGAAATCCTGTCAGACGTTACAGCTCTGCGCGTGACACCTCGTTCGGTGGGTGTGGAAATGTTCTCCTTGTCCGTGATATTTGCCAAATTTTCCATTGTCATCAGCGACGGATCCTCACTCACCATGCTCACAGTCTTCTCGCCAGTCGTGTCAGAGCAATTCAGCTTGCTGAGAGTGCTCTGACCAGTTCGCGTCTTCCTGGCAGACGTCACTGGGCGCCTGGACAGTCGCACGGTACTTCTGGGCGTCGCTGGAGTTCTCTTTTCAGTTTTCGGTGTCTTTGCCGGCGTGACTGATCCCACAGCGGACTTGGAAGCCGATCGCAGCACTCGCTGAGGAGTCGCAGGGATGAATTTCACACTGTCCTCGAGAGTCATCTCATCAGAGTCCTCGATAGTTATAATTGACTCATTTTCCTCGGGAATTTCAAGTCTTTTCACCTCAATTGGCGTACTTTGAGGCAATCCGCCGAAGTCTACACTCACTGGCGCCACTGAAGACGGCGTCTTCATGCTCCGCGTCATTGCTGGGAACTTCATGGGCGTCTTGAAGATCTCAGGTGTGTCAACGCGAACGGCCGCCGGTGTATTTAGATCAATTAAATTCACTGATTCTCTAATTTTCGGCGATTTCAGCGTCGATCCTTCCATTGGCGTTCCATAAACACTCTTCGATGCCTCAATTGCTGTATTGCTCGTCAGATTGTCCACAATTGTCACCTCTTCGGCTGAGCAATGCGCCCTTGTGGTATCTCTCTCCACGGACTGACACCTCATCTTGTCTCTGATCTCAGTGAAGACTGACACAGTCATGTCCGGACCCATGCGACGAAGCTTTGTCTGCAAAAATCAGGAAAAACACAGTCAAATCTGTGGTGAAAAGAGCAAGAATATCCCAAAATCATCTACCTTCCTTCCAGGCTCAGACTTCCAAATACGTCTTCTGTCCTTGACACGACTCACATCCGGCGTGAGACACTTTCCCAACGTCTCCGGAATGCTGAACTCCCACTGAAGCTTGTGATTGAACACTTCAATTGTGTCTCCGGACTTCAGGAACTGCTTTCTCGTCACTGGCTTCGCATTCACCACAACCGGATGGTCCACAGAGTAATTGATGATTTGTACCTGTGAACAAGGAGGAGAGAGGCACTTGAGAATCACCAGGGAGTTTCCGGGAGTGTCCCTATTCTAACCTTGTCCAGCTTTCCCATGGAAATCTTGCAATGAATTGGCAACGCATTGGGATTCCTGAGGCGGAAGAGGCATCGTACATCCTTCCCGAAGCACACAGATTTCCCGCGAGTGGTGTAGGCAATCTTGTTCAGCCCATTTTTCTTCCAGTAAATGAGCTTCCCTCCCAAAAGTGATGACATTTCACTGTATGAATTGCGCTCTCTGGAAGAAAAAAACAAACGCACGAATTACACACAATTCACCACATTTCCACACAAAACTCCATCACCAGAGGTATTAGACGAACCTCTTCTTGGGTTTTCACTCAGAAAATGCACTTGAAATAACCACAGAATGGTAAATTATGGTGATTTTTCCACAAAGACGCTCACAGAGACGCCACAAAATCAATCGTTGTGAAATAAATTCAAGCCGTTTGACAGCGCTAACTGTGAGTACTAAAAAATTTCCGTTGCAATTTACAAATGTCGTGCAGAGTATTTGTGGCCACAATAGAAATTGCGGTTTAAATAAAATCTTAATGCTAGAGCTGATAAGAAAATCCGGGGGGTTTATCAGGTGAAATTTCTGAGTATATTTTTGAATGACATAAGAATATTGGAGAATAACAAGAATATTTTTGATAAAATTAAAATATTCTCCATATCCAACGATTATACTGAGTATAATTCTGATTTAGGGGAGAAAATCTCTGACATTAGCGGGATGATAACGAATGGTCCAATGAGAGAAGCTCTTAAGTTTGGCTGCTTTATGAAAAGAAGGCAGATAAATTGCAAAATGACGGTAATTGCGGTGAAAATGCAACAGTTGGATTCTACATAAGATTATAAGTGGAATGGATCAAAAAGAAAGGGAATTCAAGGTTGCCTCTGGCGCGCATGGATGCCAATAATAGAATCACACTTATGCCGACCCACAACGTCACCCAGATAGATGTGATTGAGGAAATTGTTCTTACACGAATTCCCTCACACAGTCACCCAGTTCATCAGAGGGTCTCCAGAATTCCGTGCGATTTTTCTCGACGGATTTGCCAGCCAAAAGCCCATGGAGATCCTAACGTTGCGATTATTTAGTGTGAGATTTTTAATTGGTTCAAACCGCGCGCAGAAAATCACCGCAGAACTTGTGATAAAAGATAAAAGCCAGAGAATTGAAATCACCCTATGACTTGGCATAGTGGCACAGTCTGTGAACAAATAGAATTAGACAGAGAGAGGAGAGACGCGCAAATTTCACTTAAACACCATCCGGACAGCATCCGTGCGTTGCCTCAGTTGATTCAATCACTCTGATCAAGTCGCATGATCTTGCCCATCATTCCCACACAGCAAATTGCTCAATTCGATCATCGCAGTGCTTCCGCAAAGTGTCTTATTCCTGTGTGTGCACAAAGAAATGATCCTCGCGCGAGTGCTCAGGACGCTTCAGCAGCCAGGACTGCGCCTCTATCACTCCAGGAGGGCGGCGTCTCCGCCCAGAATCCTCATAACCGGTGAGTCTTGACGAGCCTTCTCTGGCGCTGAGCCAACTTCTCATGCCAGCAAGTATGTGCTCGTGTTGCCGAGGGAATTGCATCAAGTGACCATCTTCATGGTCAGAGTTGATTTGCAATTGAGATACAAGTTCAATGATAAATCTCGCTCGTGCGACTCGCGCATATTTTAGCGATAATTGTAGGAGGAGGAAGTGGTCTTGTGGCGTTGCAAAACCACATCAAATCTCTTCCAATAAATTCTCGGGTTTATACAATTGTTGAGCACTTTTTTCTTTAAAGTTCGCGCTCATTAAATGCTTACAGAATGAGTGCGAAATTCTTCGTAAATAACTTATCTATTTTTACTCCTCCAGGCGGTCTTGGGCAGTTGGGAACGGAGTGCGCCAAGCTGCTCAGAGGCCACTTTGGAACGGAATCTGTGATACTGTCGGACATCATAAAGCCCAGCCAGGCTATCGTGGACAGTGGACCCTACATCTTCGCCGACATCCTCGACTTCAAGGTGAGAAAATGTCTGGTGCATAAGTGATGTGAAAAAAAGTCTTAAAGTATCGATAAATTTTCCAAATAGACGAAACGTTGGAGGGAAATTCTATTCAGCTTTTTGAACTTCCTTAATTGGTTGCTTTAAAATGCCGCTTGATTCTAGAATCGGAAAATCCAGGGGTTTTCCACAAAAATGCCCCATTTTTGCGAGGGTTATTTTATGGTACAATCGGGCCGCATATATTGATAAATGGGTTCTTTTCATTGGTAGAAAAGCTTTAAGCAGAAATATTTGCGATGAAATCGATGCAAGAAAGTTTCTATTTGCAATATTTTAACATTACAATGTTCAGATATGAACCGAAATTGTCAGTAAAGACAATAAGTTCCATAATATATCAATGTGAAGTGCAAGAATAGCCAATAAGAGTCATGTTAAATTGCAACTGGAGCTTTTCAGTTCGCTGCGTTGTGCCCAAATGTGAAGTGGAAAGTTCTTCACATGGGCGCTGTATTTTGCCGGTAAAATGTGCGTTGCTATCCAACTTATAAATAAATGCCTCACGCGATATCTCACGTACTGCTCACGTCACGGAGTCTCAAGCGGTGTGTTGTGGTTCTTCTGTTCGTGCAGGGTTTGCAGAAAATCGTCGTGGACTATCGCATCGATTGGTTGATCCACTTTTCCGCGCTGCTCAGCGCCATTGGTGAGCAGAATGTGCCACTGGCCGTGAGGGTGAACATCGAAGGGGTGCACAATGTGATTGAGCTGGCCAAGCAGTACAAATTGCGCATCTTCGTGCCCAGCACAATTGGCGCCTTTGGTCCAGATTCACCCAGAAATCCCACGCCAAACGTCACGGTAAGTGTTGTTCGCACGCCCTCATCAACATCTCTTTTCTCTCTATCACGCCATGACAAATGGGCAATGAAGGAGTCATTAGCGCGTTGTCTTGTCATTAAGTGTGTTGAAAAATACGTTAAAATTTCACTTAAGAATTCAAAGAATCTTATTCAATTGTTATCTGTGACTTTCTGTGCAGATTCAGAGGCCAAGAACAATCTATGGCGTGTCGAAGGTTCACGCTGAACTTATTGGCGAATACTATCATCACAAGTTTGGCCTGGACTTCCGCTGCTTGAGATTCCCCGGTGTCATTTCCAGCGATGCTCCTGGCGGTGGGACAACAGGTGAGCGAAAACAAAATTGAATCACACACTTCTTATCGCCACAATCTTGTCCGTTTTTCCACTGTATAGATTACGCCGTGAGCGTGTTCTACGATGCTCTCAAGACTGGCCACTTTCAGTGCTACCTGAGGCCAGATACGCGTCTGCCCATGATTCACATTGAGGACTGTCTCAGGTGAGTGCTTGTGCGGCTCTCAGGCGCGCGCCCATTAATCGCTTGATGCCGATGCAGGGCTCTGCTCGAGTTCATGACGGCGCCGCAGGAGAGCCTCAAGAGGAGGGCCTACAATGTCACCGCCATGTCCTTCACACCGGAAGAATTGGTGGCGGAATTGGCGAAATATGTGCCAGAGCTCAGGGTGACCTACAAACCCGACAGTCGACAGCTAATTGGTAAGCGATGAGAATCCATCATAATTTCCCGCCGAATCATTCGAGAAAATGCCTATTTCCCCAGCTGACTCGTGGCCACAAGTGTTCGATGACTCCGAGGCGAGGAACGACTGGGGATGGAAGCCCAAGTACAATCTGCAGGATCTGACAGAGATGATGGTGAGCGACGTGAGGAGGATGCTTGTGAGGAATGGACAGCTTCAGGAGGCTTCCGGATGATGCGCTCAAGTGTGCATTTTATCTATTTTATCTCTAATCAATCAACACTCATTGGTCTTGTATACGAATCCAAATTGGTGCCAAAAGCTATTTAATATAACACAATTTATATACAACATTATCGGGAAATGGCAATGTAATCGCGCAACATATTTTTTTTTATTGATAACAATGGGGATTTTTTTTTGACAAAATGTGACTCTCTGTGAACAAAATTGTATGTTATTAAATACTGTCTTGAGTCATTTTCACTGGTAAAACAATCCTTTCTTTTGCAAACCAACAATGAAACTCTCGTTGTCACACACACACACTTTAATTGATTACGAGAATTTGTGATAAGAATTCGGAGAAAATTGCACGGAAAAAATATTACCAAGATGTACTCAAGTGCGCCTCTCTCTCCCCTATCCAAAGGCCTTCCTTCTTGATGCGTTAATCGATCAAACTTTGTGGCCTTTTAGCAATGGAAGAAGTCACTCTTCTCAGTGTGAGCGATAAGAGGCGGAAAGCACAGGCAGATGAGGTGTTGAAAATCTTAAAATTCCATTCGGATTCTCTGAGTGATGACAGTGAAGACTCTGATTGTGGCAGCCAGCTCTCCGATCCCTTCTCAGACATGGAGGAGAAGACCGTTCCAGTGCCCAGTGGGAAGAGAGTAAGAAAAAGCTGCAAATCCTGCGAAACAAGGCGCAGGATTTCAACTGAAGACAATGGCATATTTGCAGAGAATGACCAAAATCGAGACTGACATCATGCTGATGTCCAGCTTCACGCCCAACTTTATGACTGTCCAGAAGGAGATGCTGGAGAAAATACCAGTAGACTCTTCGATATGCTCAGATTTCGCTATCGCGCGCAATTACACGTACTTGGACAGGCGAGAACCCAAGGAGAGTGATGAGAAGATCAGGAGCAGAATTCAGGACATGCTGGGCTCGTGCGGCGTCAAGTCACCGGCGGCGAGTCGCGCCTCGCCGGATAAACACATCCCAACCGCGGCTCCGTCGCCGCTGGAGATGTACAAGGAAATGTATGGAAAGTCGCCCATGAGCGATGCTGACAACAGTTCCTTGTCGGCCGTCTGGCGAATGCTGGAGGCGCAATCGGTGGAGAATGGATTCCCAGTCACACCTTTTGGCTACAATGTCTTCGAGGACAAGCGCCTGGAGTGGCTGACGCGGAAGGATTCGACGTGGAATGACAGGGAACAGATTCGGGAGAAGTGTGAAAATTGGTTGAAGAATATTGAATAAATTTGCAGATTCTCAAGTAAAAAGACTTTTCCAGCAGGAACTCAGCAATATCTGCCAGAGACACAGAAGTGACTGTGAATCCTTAGCTAGGATGACGCAAAGAAATTGAATTCTGTATTAATTATTTCTGCTTAGGCACCTGCTATTTGCCTTCTTCAAGTTCAGAATACAATTTAAAGGAAAACCAACACTTGACACAATATTGCGCCATTTTATGCTTTTATAAAAACCATCACTTCAACAATAGCTTTTTTCCACTGATCAGTGATATCTCGATGATTTTTCCGCGAAAATTTCAACTGATTATGCTATCAACCGGTAAATTCTTCACCACAGGGTTTTCTCAAGAAGTATTAGCACCACCAATAAAATCTTATCACGAGCACAACTACAGTCTCTCCGCATTATAAAATCGCGCGAATAGAGCGCTTCACATTCGGCTTTTCTAATCAGTTTCAGTGTGATATCAGTTGAGTGAGGTTCTCTTTAGTTAAAGCACAAAGTATGGCAAGTGAAAGTGATAAGAGTGTGCAACAGGATGATCTCGACGCGATTTCCACACTTGTGGAGAAAGTGAAGGCGTGAGTTGCTGATCTATCACGCGTTAAACTATATGTCTAACAGCCTACGCCTTCAGCACCTTCATTCCTGAGCAATCGTCAGATGTCCAGCTGAAATCTGTGGCCGCCGACTCGGAGTACTATGACATGACGAATAAGAAGCGCGGCGTGGCGCTCATCTTCAATCACAGGGACTTCAAGAGAATGCCAACGAGGATGGGTACGAATAAGGACCGCGATCGCATGGAGGAGGTCTTCAAGCAGTTGGGCTTCGAAACGCGCGTCTTCAATGACTTGAGCCGCAAAGAATTGCGTAATGTGCTGGAGAAAGGTTAGGAAGAATCATCACTCCTTCTGTGCTGTGATTTGTACGTTTCTCTTCTTTGGCAGTGGCGCAGGAGGATCACTCGGACAGTGACTGCTTGGCGCTGATTGTGATGACACACGGAGAGACAGGATATCTATATGCCAACGATGACAGCTACAAAATCGAGGAGTTGTGGTTCGAATTCATGGGCAACAAGTGCAAAAGTCTCATTGGGAAGCCAAAATTATTCTTTGTCAACGTGAGGCTCAAGTATCAATTTATCGCTTCTAATCCACCTGATAACTTATCATCTTGCTTCTCAAGGCTTGTCGTGGCGAGAAGTTCGATCACGGCGTGACGTTCTCCAGAGTCTTCACGGATCAGGTGGACTCGACTGCCCGCGAAGTGACCTACGCCATTCCCTCCGTGGCGGACATCCTCGTCACCTATTCCACCTTCGACGGCCACTACTCCTGGCGCAATCCCGAGAACGGCTCGTGGTTCATCGAGGTGCTGTACGAGGAGTTGAAGAAATTCGGCTCAGAGCGTGATCTGCTCACGCTGCTCACGGGTGTCAATCGACGCGTGGCCTATGAATATCAATCCAATGTGCCGTCCAACCAGAAGATGGACTCGAAGAAGCAGCAGCCATCCATCGTGAGCATGCTCAACAAGATTCTCTACTTCACACCAAAGAAGGGCAACGAATAGTGACTCAACTGTGGAATTTATACTTAATCTTAGAGAAATTGCGGCAAATGTGATGTTTTTTCTTGCCCTTTAAAGATAGTGACAACTATGTAAGTGAATTTTGAAGTATTTAATGACTCTCTGGAGTTATTTAATGTTGTGCTGAAGAAACTCTTATGAATAAAGTTTTTGGATATTATTCATAAAAAATTTTACTTAACACTTAATCTTAAAAGATAAAAGACATTTCCTCGAAAGACAGTGACTCAATATTTCTGCGTCGAACTGTATAATTTGCGGACTGGAAATCGCCGTGAAGTATGCCAAGAGTTTTCAAGTTTTCCATGCAATTTTTGATCCGTTCACGCTACTCAAATCTCCACTTAGCAATCTCAAATCAATTAATAACGTGGCTTATCTATAAATTAACATATTCTTTTGTATGTACTAACCATCGTGAGCTGGTGGGAGATTTATCGACTGGACTTGTCTCAATCAATTGAATGGGAGAAAGACTGTCTCTGCACAGATGTCGCGTGGAAAAAAATGGGTTCAGGTGAATCTCGGCTGTGTGATGATTTCTTTAAACTTTCATTGGTTGTTCAATGCGCGAATGCGAATGAGACGGAAAGGGGAATCATTAAAAATATATATCGCATTTCCACTTCACTGTCAAATGTGGTTTTTTTCTTCTCTCACTCGCGAATGTCTCTCTTTTTCAACCTTTCTTTCCCATCGATTGTGACGCTCTTACACTCTCTCGCCACTTGTCTAAGCGCAGTCAATTCATTAGTTTTGTGCCTTGGATTGTGCAATGCGCACCAGAGAGTCAAAATTGCCGGATTGTGCATTGAAACGTGGCGTCGAGTGTGTCCAACAACCAGAAGTTCTTGGAGCTGAAGTTACCCAAAGCAGCAGCAAAGAGTTTCCATTGCCAGAGTGCCTCTGATCTTGCCAGGAGAAGTGCCCACAATTTTTTTTTTTAGTTTTACTTGCTATTGTGTGCATTTTCTGAAGGTACTTCGCGCCTTACAAAGTTGGTGATTGATCGCAGAAAAAAAAGAGAGAGAAGCTGTGAGAAGAAGTGTTTTCGTGATGCCAAGTGAATTCAGTGTATAACAAGAAAATTTACCCTTGATCTCTGCAAAGTCTCACTCACAAATGCTTGATGAGTAAGTCCATTAGATTGCCTTTTTTCCAATCCACCTTTCGCGATTTTTCTTGGCTTGCAAGTGCGCGCTTCTGACCTTTAAATCCATAATTACCAGAAAGATACCAACTCTCAATCTCCATAAATGTCGTGATAATTCCAATGCTTGATTGAATTTATCACTGATAACAGGTGTCTCTAAAGCCGACGAAAAGCAATCACTAATGAAAAGAAGAAAAGCCTCATTGACGCTTTGAAATGGTTTTCTTGTGAAAGCAAGAAAGAGCGCATATAAAAGTGCAAAAAACAATTTGTCCTCATTTGAAACCATCATCATTGTTTGTATTTAACCACTTCTTGGGAAGAGTTTCGAGCCCAAAGTATATAAACACCTTCATCGCACGGCAAGTAAACGATCGGGAGGACAGAGAGTAGTTGGAGAGACTCTTAAGCGAAATATATCAATTCTTAACACCATGCAGAAGTTAATCTCACGAAACAAATCATCCCACGCTTCCACTAATAGTTTTGAAGAATATGCAAAGCGTATAGTTTGTTTTTTTTTCTCCTCCTCACGCTGAGAGGCAAAAGGTTTGTGGCATTTCTCATTTTAATATTAATGAAAGTGGCAAAATTGCCGCTGTAATTATTGCAAGAGCTTATAGAGATGTCATAAAAAGACTATAATTTCTGCGGACGGGAACCATATAACAATTGCAATGACCGTGGTGTATTTGAGAACAGCGGGAGGAAACCGCGAAGAAGTTGAGGAATTTTTATGCGCGACTGTGTAAGAAATTGGATCGCCTTCAGCGGCACAATTTTCCCATCCATTGAAAACTCCCCATTTTTACACAGTTTGGCATGTTAGCGACAAAAGTTGTCTCATTTTGTCATTGCAAAACACAAAAACACCAACAAAATTTATGATGATAAACTTTTATAATCAAATTGCCACGTTTTGCCACACAGACTTTGGTCAATTTTGCATTCATTTATTCTTGTGTGCGGCCATTAATGCAACTCCCTCTCAAATAAATAATAAATTTTTCCACCCGTAATTGGATCATGGGCTCACGTGCATCGTGAGACAATCGTGCATCGGCCAAAGAAAATCACACACAATCACGCGGCACTTCATATTTCATTCAAGCAATGACAAGAGGCACGATAATTCTGCTGCATTTCATTGATATCATTCCAGGTGCTATTTTTGCAACAATTTGCGGAAGGATGAAATGTTCCACGAAAGGGAGAAATCGAGGAAATCAGTCGAAGCAGACGATAGTTGTCTTTGAGGTAAGTGACCGGGATGGTGAGATTGCATAAGGAGGAAATCACATTGAAATTGGATGGTTTTCATCTCGTGTTTCAATTGCCCTAACATTGGGCACACGAAGATGGCATGTTGTTAATCTAGAAATGTGTGTCAATTGTGCAGGAAATATTACGACGTTTCTATAATGTGGCCAAATTTGTCTTCAGCTCTTAATCAATCAATAGCTCACCTATTTACTTTCAACTTTTCCGGTGTCTTCGAGCAAATGATGCATAAAAAGTGCGTGTGTTTTAACCACCACGCGATCATTGCGAAATGCACTCTTTTGTGTCTGTGTATGTTTTTCTCTAACCCATAAATTCAATTCCCCCGCCAAATTAGTCTCTATTTAATTCAAATTAACGTCAAGCAATTTTCCCTCGCTTGCCCACTTTTCACCTGAAACACACGAGGCCACACCAATTCACTGGGTGCCACAAGAGTGAAAATATCGCCATAGCAATTTTCATGCCATTTGTGTTGCATCCTTTGTTCAGCATCCACTCAACACTAATTACTGAACATCACCGGCGAAGAAGGTTCTTCGCGATGTTGCAACACGACTTCAAGTGGGACAGAAATTTGGATAAAGGCCCGAATGACATCACGCGCCGTTTTTGGTGTAATCGCAAATATATTGGAGATCATGATCGATGATTTCAGGCCTGAAGTGATCGTGAGAAATTCAAGCTCCTGCCAATTTTCACCGCCCTGTACTTTAGCCGCGGATCAAACGCTTTTTTATGGTGTGTCAGGAGGGGAAAAAAATTACATATAATTTAGACGTGATGGCGGATCTTGACTACCAGTGGGAAGTCGCGAAAGTGGTGGCAAAAAAAAGCTCTCGCGATGATGAACTTATGCGGCAATTGGACTCAATCAACACGGCGCGATGTATTTTTCTCATCACGAAGGATTTAATCCAATACAAATCATCATTGAAACCTTACAATGCCCGCCAGGCATTCGATTCTCAGGCGAATTATAAAAATACACACACGTCGTGGTATTTGAAGATAACATCACATTAAAGGCTATACATAAATGAATATGAGTTAATTGAATGCACAGCAGTGAGAGTCACACTCATTGTGCGATCCTCTCCAATATGGTGCTGGGCTAATAATAATAATATTAGAAGTCATATGAAATCGCTGGCATTTCATTCTTCTGCGCGCGGCTTCCACACTGCAATTTCCACCGCGCACAGTGAGTATAGTTGCTGCTCTCACGGAGAAAACCGTGTGAGATTCGAAGTGACTCGATAAATTCACTAAATCGGTCAATAGGTAATGTTGCGAGCATTTTGTATCATCGTGTCACGATTTTGGTATTTACACTTCTCATGCCATTCGATTCAGCCACAAGATCACACGGAATTTCCTGACACTCTCGGCATCAATTGGAGATTCTTCTCTTTGTCAGGTGATTCTTCGCCAAAGATGTGTGTGTTCAATTGCCAAATACCATCGATGAAGATGACACTAAAGCGATGGTGATCTTTCGCAGTGATTTCACTCGCATTTGCAATTGTATTTCAACTGTATTCCAAGGATTGCACTTACAAAAGGATTGCTGAACGGAGAATTATATGCTGCCGGATGACAACGGAGGCAAAGGAGTGCTGAAAAGGTGCATGTGTGTGATATAAAACACGAAAATTGCACATATAATACCTTTGGGAGCAGCGCGCAAAAAGTCAATTTAAAAAGTCACAAATATACACAAAGATCATATGTAATTTTGAAATGTTCTGCACCTCATTTGGATATGCGATGCTCATCGAGCATCTCATCGGCAATTTATGCATTTATTTTGCAATATTTAATACCAAACAATGCAACAGCCATGCGAGAAATTGGATGAACACGACGACACCTCGCCGGTGTGGATTTCGGAGTCATTCCGCATGGGACAGGCCGAATAAGTGGATTGCGCGAGGATGAATCTGGTTGAGGAATTCAAACAATATATGTGGTATGAAATGTGAAGGACTCCCTTGAATGTCACACATTGATCATCGCCAATCTTTGGAATTAGACTGTGCGACTCTCTCGCATGATAAATTGCAATGTTTGTTAATCACAAAATGCTCTTTGTGCACTGGATGGAATTCAGCATTTTTTTTCTCGTGGAAGTGACAAATGTGGTGAAGACATGAAGAGTGCGCGCGAGAAAAAAACCAGAGGAATTGTGTCGCGATCTTCAGAAATTTGCCAGCGAAGAGAGAGAGACCTTGAAACATGATCATCATGACCAAGTTATCCATCTCACACCCATGCGATCACTTGGCTAAATACCTCACCAAGAAATTTGACGGCAAATGTAACAACAATGCCACCAACAATCGCTCACCGTGATTTTCTCTGGCTCACACACATTGAGAATGAACTGTGAGGAATGATTGACAGATTACCATCATAAATAAATTGAAATCTGCGATCTTATGCGATCATCTTGAATTGTATAATAATGTCTTTTAGGAGAGACTCACCGCCAGTAAAACCTCCTGCCTTAATTGCACCATCGCAAAAAACAACTCGCCGCGCACAATTAATCGATTGTACAAATTGCTGGTGATCTCTGTGGAATTTTTGGAAGAATTCTTTCGCAAGATCGCATCAACAACCCACACACAATTGATCGTAGGCCGAAGAATTCTTCCCCTCCCACCAAATGCAAATGTCTCAACAGCCGCAATACTTTCCATGGCGCAGGCAAAGGACGAAGTAATTTGCAAGATCGCGTTTTGTGATCATCGCGAGCAATTTCACTGTTAACAGATCTGTGTACAAATTTAAGGCATATTCTCTTCCTCTTGGTGTGTGATATAGAATTCTTGATGCAAAATGAACCACACAAAAACCTTCCAAGAGTTAATTTAGAACAGAGTCAAAAATCCATGCGGAACCCTGGATTGCTTTTTTCTATGAGAATTAAAGTGCGATCACGATTAGTCCTTCGCATAGTGAATTCGCTACAGTTCATATATATATATATTTCTCAATGTAAGCAGCAGCAATTAGAGAAAATGATCAGTTAGAGAGAAAAACAGAGTTAATTGAATTTTGGGGAATTCCACTGAACGCGCCGTGTATGAAAAGTCGATTAACTGCCAATCTCATGAGATCGCATGAGAAATTCGAGACGATTCTCAGCAAATTGTTGTGCAACATGGAAATCATCATGATCCCCATATTGAGTGTTTATTATCTCGAAAAATTACTAACTGAATATGGAGCGATTTATAACGATTTGTCAGTTGACATGAAAACACGAATTCCCTTTCAAATCACCTTCTCTGCGACTGTGTCTGTGGACAAAAATGCACCTTTCCACCGCAGAGAGTCAACATGAAAATTCTAAGGTATATATATATGATGAAAAATGGATCTCACGACCTTCTCTCTCCGCACAGCTTCTAAGCCCCGCAATGAGCGACCGCAAGTGTTGAGCTGCAGAGGAAAATGGGCGCATGGTGAAAAAAGAGATCACTTCTAATAGAAGGTATTAAAAACATGACATGTCGCAATGCTGGCAAACTCTCCCACAGTTCAACTTAAGGAGAGCGCGTCGCATGCGGCGAGCAGCCAAGGGAAAAATTAATTAATTGCAACATCAAGAGTGTTCTTGCAAATAATCTCCAATCAACTGCAACAAGCGCATCATTCTGCCGATCGTGCTTATGGGAATCAATTGAGCTCTGCGCGATCCACTTAATTGTAATGGACTCTAAATGGATTTCTTGCTCTCTTACTAAATCGCGACCATTGCGCGGCCACTTTTTGTTCTCACAGCTCTTCCTCCCAGCTTTTAAACACCCGTACAACTCTATCATTTCCAAAGGCATAACACCACAATGTCAATATGGAGGGAAATTGACACGGGTAGAAATTTATGATGGCAATAAAAATTCTTATTAGATGGCCATTCTTGTGCATGTGATTGACAGGCATTGGAAATCATCTACTGAAAAATTAAGAGGCAAACAGAGTGTCAGTAGAAATTGTGATTAATTGCCAGATTGTGCTTTGAGGCCTTTGAGCCTGAGTTCACTGAATTTCTCTTCTTGAAACTTTAATTGGGTTATTTCACAATAGAAGCAATTTTTCTCTGTTCTTTTCCATTCATGTGCAAAAATATTGACTGTTGTTTTTCGTATTTTGCGGTTTTGTGTGTCTGTTCAGAGAAGCACATTAATTCTCCATCGATTGGCAATTTTAGAGACGAAAAGAAAAAAAGAAGAAAATACTAAAGGGAAAGTATAAAAATTTCAGTAGAATTTTTAGTATTGAGAAAAAAAACACAACTCAATTGAGTAATGTCACATTTCCGTGTGAATATAAATCGGAAAATAAAGCAGATTAATACATATGAAATTATGGTGTGATTCGTGTGATTAATGATCACTTGATCAGGGTAATTGTCATAATTTGACGTGTAAGTGGAAAGCGAGTTGCAGACAAAATTGCACACAGCGAAAGAGAACAAGAATGTGAACATAAATTGTTGGATGAAAAGACACACAAAAGAGGTAAATATTTCCTAATTGTGGCTGAGATCAACTACCGTTTCAGCAGCATTTCCTTAACTAGTTATTAAAATGTAACAATTTTGAGTGAGATACACATCTGATCGAACACAATCTCTATTGTAAAGCCCAATGTGGGTCAGTCGCATTGTTTAATTGGTCATTCATCAATATTCTAAAGCGCGCCAGTCGCAAATATTGCGCTTTTCGCTGCAGATGAGAAGCGCTCGATGGGGAATATAATAGTGAAATGAAGTTCAAAATTGATGCTGAGCCACCAACAAGTTCATTTAATTCCATCCTTTGTGCTCGTGAAAAGCTCTTGTGCAATGTTCTTCTAAGCAACACACAAAATGTGTCTTAAAGCTCACCGGCGGTGATTTTTGCATACCAAAGACATGATCATTTTATTGTTTCCAACTGACCGTCAAAGCATTAAATTAATTGACA